GTTATATATAATATATATATATATATATATATATATATATAGAGACACATGTTTTATATATATATATATATATATATATATATATAAATCTCATATATGCATATATAAAAATAAAATATTTAACTTTTTTTTTCAAAAACCTTTTTCACCAGCAGGGGGACTGCTTGTCAGCACTGTGGACACCTATTGTGGCGATGTGCTCTTTTTGAGCTGTCACATGGCCCCTGGGGGTCCTAATTTGGAAAGGGGGAACTGTCTGGGCTGTCAGACAATCCCCCCAGTGAAGCAGAAGACCGATCGCCGGCGGGGGATCATGAGGAACAGGCATTAGTCCTGCTCTCTTTTTCCTCAGGACAGTAGTATACAGGCAGATTTCCCATAAGTATAGCCATTACCTGCACTCTTTTATCCAGCTCACTAGTGGATACATACAGCTTACGAACAACCTCTTAAATGTGACCCATTTGTTATAAGAAAGCCTCAATGAAAGTATTAGCGACTGCAGAAATACCAGAGTCGCCCATACTTACACGAGCCAATAAACTAAACTACTGATGCACTTACCTGAGAAGGAAAACCAGATTAAATAGCCGAGATAGGGGCAGATGAACTGTTGCAAAAAAAGTTATATGTACAGGCACTCTTTTATCCGTATTGGTGCAAAGTATCCAGGTGGCCCATATGCCCTCAAATATACAAAATACCAAAATGATACTGCACTCAAAAATTTCAGATAGAATTCATTGCTTCATTTAATAATTCATTATCATGTTATTATAATTCATTAATTACAAAGAATTGATCATATATACTCTAGAATCAGAAAATGTAATGATATATACACTTAAATCAAACGATATGTATTAGTAGAAACAGTACATTATGCGCCTACTAATATAACTCCATGCAACTAAAGGTCCCTAACCACAGATCTGTAGATCAAAAATATGCTGAACTGTGTTACTATATCTTAGAGTCCAAAAGTACCATCCAAAAAAGGGCAAAAAAGAGACAGAGAACCAAAAAATACAGAAAAATAGAAAAAAAGATCAAAAAGTAAAAAATGAAAAAAGTGAAAACAATGAAAAAATATAGAGAAAATAATAAAAATAAGTATATACAGTCCCAGTGTGTACACACTACAATATGTGGGTGGATCTCACCACATTCTCCAAAGGTATGGGTCCTGTTTTCAGACAGTATGTAAATCTTGATGTAAAAGTCGTGGTGCAATAGCAGATCCCTGTAGTCGTTGTAAGCCTTTATTTCTCCCAGATTGTATTTGTAAAGTCTCTCACTACTTCTGAAGGTACCGGACTCTCTCCTTCAATCTGATGGTGTACTGTCTGAAAACAGGACCCATACCTTTGGAGAATGTGGTGAGATCCACCCACATATTGTAGTGTGTACACACTGGGACTGTATATACTTATTTTTATTATTTTTTCTATATTTTTTCTCTTTTTGTATTTTTTCATTGTTTTCACTTTTTTTCATTTTTGATCTTTTTTTCTATATTTTTTGGTTCTCTTTTTTGCTCTTTTTGGATGGTACTTTTGGACTCTAAGATATAGCAACACAGTTCAGCATATTTTTGATTATCTACAGATCTGTGGTTAGGGACCTTTAGTTACATGGAGTTATATTAGTAGGCGCATAATGTACTGTTTCTACTAATACATATCGTTTGATTTAAGTGTATATATCATTACATTTTCTGATTCTAGAGTATATATTATCAATTCTTTGTATTTAATGAATTATAATAACATGATAATGAATTATTAAATGAAGCAATGAATTCTATCTGAAATATTTGAGTGCAGTATCATTTTGATGAACTGTTGCAGGCCTATTTCCACTGACAAAGGGGATTTTACAAACTAACACCCTGATCTAAGAAAACGACATAGATCCTTGTACACACCATGAACCATTATCATCTCTTCAGAGAGAGCTTAGGTCAAAGCCCCAGTCACTAAAACGGGTATACCCAGGGAATCATCTTTCTATAGGTGCAGTTTACTGTGTAAATATTGGCCAGGTGAGCATATCATAAAATTTGGGCCTGTTAAAGCAGGCTCTCTCCTAACTGCTGTGAAAGGTAGGACAACAGACTGTTGAAGGGAGTGGCTGGTACTATTTACACGAATTTCAGAATTCTATTTCCTGTCCTTTCTGCTGTAATGGGAGGAGCTAACCCACAATGCCGCCATGGCTTAATTAGGAAAAGGTTGGTACATTAAAGCTCACAGTAAATTTATGTATCATTGGTACCAGATGCAGAAAGAGCCCAAAAAATTTACCCAGCAGCTCATAACCAATGTTGGAGAGGTTTCCAATTCTTATGAGCTACATTAAACACATGGTGGACTTGCCCGCACCTTCAACCCATTGGTACTCTGGTGCAACTATTATTTAAATCCCTATGCAAACTATCCCTTACACTCTTTATTACATGCATGGCCTTTTCACCTATTTCCTTTTACCAAAGAACACTGACTACTCGGGTGATTCTTGCAGCAAAACGTCTTATTGCTCTCAGGCAGAATGTAGAGGAGAATCTCCACACAACATTGTACAAATTTATGGCTATGTTTACCATATCTCTGAAAGAAAGGTGGTAAAAATTTGGTTCCCATGGTGTGAAGATTACGCTTCCTCTGTAGCACCTAGTTGTCCGACCACTTGAGGGATAGTTAGCAACTTTATAATAGACTTTACGGTTTTCTACCGCTCTTACCCCATGTCTTTCGCTTTATATGTGATTTACAGGAAGTCACTCCAAATCTTCAGAGGCTGTGCTTTGCTATATGTGTTATTGTCCTCTTTCTACAATTCAGAGGTTGCCCATGATGAAATCCCCACTTACTCGACTGGCTTTTTGTTCCATCTTCTGTATTATTTCTTTATCTTTTGTGTTTTCGCTTTGTGTCAATATGTATGCATCTTATAGCTATTGTATACTTGTGTATTCTCAACGTTAAAATAAGAAATAAAAAAAATGTATATATATAATCACGAATAATAGTATAAAGAAACAGAGATCGGAGCCCTACCACTACCTGCAAGAAAGACAATTGGAGACCAGCACTTTCTGGACTTGGTCCTTAGGACCTTTTTCTGGGTTCATTTTGCCACTCTTGTGGCATATATTTTTGTAAGTGCAATACATTTTAACCTTATCGGTTTGGTTTATGGGGTTTATTTATCTAGGTTTGTTTTATTTTCTTTAAGCTATTAAAGAATATTAGGATTGCATCATCCAATGCTGTTCTTCATATTGCAAATGTGGCAGGAAAACTTACGTAAAATTGTAAGGTATTTAATATTTGTTTCACTTGTATTAGGCAAATAGATAGACATGGATTATAAAGTAAAGAAGAGGGGTAGGTGAATGTGAGTTAGGGGAGTGGGTTTATGTATGCAAATAGAGTCAGGTTCATTGAAGATCTTGGTATCACCAACAGTAAGAGGGCTGCATTCTGTACCTTAATCAGTATTTATTACATGCATACATAAATTGGCTGGAATAACTGCGTAAAAAAAGAAAGACTGTATCAACAGTACATCTGGCTGTATATTATGAAGCATCCTGACACCATGTTAATATGTCCGATGAAGTCTCGACATGGAATGTGTAGAAGGTGAAAGGAGAAAAGTCAATGACAGATCCCAGATGGTTAAGCAATAAAGCAGCTCAGCTTTTTTTCCCCCCCATCTGAAAACTTGTTAACCAACTAGCTAAATAACTATTCTATATTTTAATCATGGTTTCCAGTTCTAAGATTTTAAACAATATAAACATTATAGGAATTCTATGTTCAGCATAGCACCTTGTGGTCTTTGTCCCAATGGCTTAATCTAAACTTAATTTGAAATTTAGCACATGCATGAATACTTAAAAGTCCCTCCCTGCCATAAAATTTCCCCATTATGAGTTGCGTTACTTAAATCTTATATAGTGTATGGAAACGAAACAAAAAAAAAGTACAGAAATATCAAGTTGTTAAGCATGGTCACAAAAATGCTAATATGAAACAAGCACATTGCAAAGCATATTTAAAGGGACACTATAGTCACCTGAACAACTTTAGCTTAATGACGCAGTTTAGGTGTATAGAACATGCCCCTGCAGCCTCACTGCTCAATCCTCTGCCATTTAGGAGTTAAATCCCTTTGTTTATTAACCCTAGTCACACCTCCCTGCATGTGACTAGCACAGCCTTCCATAAACACTTCCTGTAAAGAGAGTCCTATTTAGGCTTTCTTTATTGCAAGTTCTGTTTAATTAAGATTTTCTTATCCCCCGCTATGTTAATAGCTTGCTAGACCCTGCAAGAGCCTCCTGTATGTGATTAAAGTTCAATTTAGAGATTGAGATACAATTATTTAAGGTAAATTACATCTGTTTGAAAGTGAAACCAGTTTTTTTTTTCAATGCGGGCTCTGTCAATCATAGCCAGGGGAGGTGTGGCTAGGGCTGCATAAACAGAAACGTGATTTAACTCCTAAATGACAGTGAATTGAGCAGTGAAATTGCAGGGGAATGATCTATACATGAAAACTGCTTTATTTAGCTAAGGTAATTTAGGTGACTATAGTGTTCCTTTAAGACCGGGTAATCTGGGGAATTTTATTTCTGTTAGACTCACAGACTGCTGTTACAATATGCAAATTAACATATTGTATCACTTTCAGCCTACATGTCTATCAGTTCCCTTAGCAACAGACTGCTGCTTAAACCCTAGCCAAATCCCTTACAAAAGATTCCTCAATAAGAGACCAACAGTTCCACACTAAGGAAGTGGATCAATATAGCCGTCGGTAGAGAGACTCCTTGGTTAATATAATATTTAAACCATGCTAAGCTCTTGAATCTATGTATTAACATCTGGCCTTTGCCCATAGAAATCAAAATGAGACACACTGTGTGCTAAACTGCAAAACGCCACAGCATGCATATCACACACCAGCTTGCTTTGTTTACAGTGTTTTGGTTTTTTTTTAAACTTTATGAAATGTGAAGATAATGCATTTCGGTATTCTGATACGGTTTACTATGTCTCAATCAGGGTTATTCACTAAACGTTATATTGTAGCAAGTTAAATGTCAAATTGCTAAATATGGGCGACAATATACAAGCACAGTAAAATATTTTAAGTTTCCTTTCACTACTACAAGCAAGGGCCGAAACATCACGTATGGGTCAATGGCTTAGTAGAAAAGTATTACACGAGGGAAAAAAACAAAAAAATTATTCTGGGGAATGTTTGAAATATTTTTCAGATTTGTATTGGCTACAATTCAGTGTCAAACCCTATCTGTCTGTATGCATGTATGTAATAGTTGCACCTAGAAAAGAATAAAAAAAAAAAAAGTGGTACAGACATATGCATAATTATCTTGTGAAATGATGTTGCTTTCCCTGTGGGACTCAAGATAACGCAAAGCAATAAATGTCATAATAGGTACCAACTAAACTCCAAATCCCCACAGATGTAACTCAGCTGTATGCTTAAGATCATATGCAGTGCAGACTGTTAAATATATCCTGAAATGGACTATCTTGCTCTTCTCATTGAGCGAAGCTGCAGTAGAATAGTGAATGTGGATCCGTCACAAGGATCCCAATACCTACGGGCAGAGTTGCCAAGTATGAAATTCCAATGGGAACACAAAATGAGTCCCTGGATGAGACACAGGTGCATAGCAGAAGATGCATTTGGCTTTTATTCACCAGAGTGTGAATTTACACAATTAGCAATATTTTACATTATATCGGAATTAAAACAATAACCAGCTATGGGTTTGGTTTCACAACTGGGTCCTAGATTTTGAGATCCAATATCCAACAGCAAGGAAAAAGTTTATCTGAATCGATTAGCAGGAAAAGCATCAGATCATTACCGGACTAAAACTACCACATGCTGTCAAAACGTGGGTAAAATTGTGGAAAGAAAAGCCCCAATAAAAATATTTGCTAAACGCAAATGGGTTGGCATCACTTGTATTCTCAGATAAACTGCATATCCAATGGTCACTTCTATTTTATTTAAAAAGTAAACAAACAAACAAAAAAAAGTATAGCCAGCTGGTTATTTACTTCTAAACTTTTTGTTTAGTATCCAAGCGGTCTCTGAATCAGTTAACCAAGATAGATTCAAGAGAATATTTGGTGATTTCAATAAAAAAAACTTCAGCATGCCAACTCATAAAAAAAAATTATATATATTACAACTCCTGCTAAATAAGGGTGGTCAGCAATGCCTACATCTTCATTTTTGGGCGAAGGTAGTAGTGAAAGATGAACTCAAGATGTAGATGGTGCAGACCACTCCTTAAAGGGTTACTTCAAGCATTATGACTACGTCAGTAATTTACCAATGTTCTCAACCAACTAATGAGCATTAGGCTCTGCATCCAGCTGCTGCAGCGACATGGGATGGGGGGGCGGTAGGGAGCGGGGCACTGCAGGATCCTGCAGTGCCAGGAAAACAGGTTTGTTTTCCTGGCACTGGAGAGTCCCTTTAAATACATAAAGGGAATCAACACAGTAAAGAAGGAGACTATATTTAAAAGAAGAAAAACTACCACGAGAGGACATAAAGTTAGAGGGGCAAAGGTTTAAAAATATCAGGAAGTATTACCTTACTGAGAGGGTAGTGGATGCATGGAATAGCCTTCCAGCTGAAGTGGTAGGGGTTAACACAGTGAAGGAGTTTAAGCATACATGGGATAGGCATAAGGCTATCCTAACTATAAGATAAGGCCAGGGACTAATGAAAGTATTTAGAAAATTGGACAGACTAAACGGGCAGAATGGTTCTTATCTGCCGTCACATTCTATGTTTGGTTTTTTCCCCTCATTTCACTCTCCATACATTGGTTGATGTGAGGAAAAAAATGATATACCACAGTTCCTGTATCTTTTAATCCTATCAAGTGAGGGATTATAGGGAATTCCATATATTCAGCCAAATGGTACATATATAAAATTTGTCAACATTAGCCAGATATGCTGCAAATGCAGGTTCCAAATAAACACCCATAAACATTTGAATGGTATACGAAGGAAAATCAATCAAGGCAAACTACATAAAAATACATTCTCCCTCAAGAGACTTTGTATTATTTTATAAAGCAAATATCCAAATTATTGAAATGGTCAGTCACTACAGGAAGAAGACAGGTCTGTGATTGGCTTTTAGAAATTTGGAATTAATTTGAGATGTTTTGCAAGCTACCAGCATTACTGTAGCTGGTCTAGAGCAAAACAAAAATCGAAAATTGCTCACTAGTACAGATGTTCTTCAAAGACTGGGTCGTTTTTAGGCTGCAATGAATATTGGCATATTGCAGTAGTTATAGGTTTGCTGACAAAATCTTCTCTGCTTCTGGCAGTTAAGACAACAAGACTCAACACTTGGTAGATCCAACATTGGCACATCCTTTGCTCTGGCCAGAAATTAGATCTTTGTAACCTTTGGGCTCTCCATTTCACAGAAATTCCTCCATCCCGTAACTACTCTACAAAATATTTAGCAGTCTTACAAGTCCATGTACATTAACAGGTTTTATATTGCAATTTAAAAAAAAAAAAAAAATTTGGGGCACAGTCTTTTTTTTACAGATCAATCGACTTTGAAAAAACAGATTAAGACTTTCATTACTGAAAGTACTTGCCAAAAGTTGTCATGGTGAAGCGCTTAGTGATTTATTCTAATGTGACTTACAAAAAATTTTTATGGGCTCTATCCATTATAATAAAATAAGTAATGCTGTTCAGCAAAGTTTGTAATTTTAGCCACTTTCTATTAAAAAAAGTATGGGTAAAAAAAAAAATAATAAAATCAGAACCACAAGAGGTCTTGTGATTGTTATTAATGCAGCAATTTGCATGTGTGTACTAACATTAGAACATCTAGCAAACAATTATTTCAAATTTAATTTCATATGGCCACACAACTAGCCTTTGTGCAATACCTCTGAAAAGGCTACATAAATGACAATTCTATAGATGTATTGTAGTGAATATCCCTATAGCTTAAATGCAAAACAGCCAGTGTGTGCAATAAGGTTAATTTATAACCGTGTCAATTTCTAATGAAATCTGCACTTAAAATATGTAAAATAAACAAAAAAATATGTATTTAAATGTTCGAGCAATTGAAATTTGAAATCTAAGCTATTGCAATGGATGGTCTGTGGCAGGTTATACAACTTCCACAAAATGTTAGGTGGTTGTGGGGAAAACAAAATAAATAAATGATATACAATATATATTTCTGTAACAGGGTTGCACATTAAACTGAAATCTGAATTGCAAATTGAGGCTGTGAATATTTTGTGAGAATTGTTCCACCATGAGCAATTTTAGAATCAATTTTGCAAATCTGAGTTCAATAACGTACAATTCAGAGTTTATATTTTGTGTGCAAAAGAAATGAATATAAACCTCCCATCACACACAAGCTTTTCTGGATCAGTTATTGGTAGGTTTGGGTTTTTCCCGGTGTGTTTTCTAGCTATGTATATGGAATACAAAGTGTAGAAATCAAACGAGCTGGAGAGTCTACCAAAAAAAAAAAAAAAAAAAAACTCATTTACCCTGATTTTCCAAAGCAACTTGAATACTGGCAGTGTAATATTTGATGCAAATTGTGCAACAGCTTATGAAATTTTTCACCTACAAAACTAGTGTGGAAAGAGCAAGTTAATTAATTTGTTTTTTACTATTACAGCATATTTTTTTTATTCAATATATTAAATATATATTAATCAGAAAAAAACACATACTGTAAATCCAGTAAGATACACAAATATAAATGTTTTCTTTTCAAAAATTACACATATATACACACAGTCCTGATGACTGTGGGATCCATAGTAACCACTGCAGAGTGTATCTTTGCATTTTCAGTTCTATGTACAGTTCTCTTTTCAACTTATGTACAAGTCTTTACAAACTGGCTGTGAAATGAAAAGGGGTCCATAACTACGGCCTGCTGGAGTGTGCGTGTGGAGAGAATCTCCCATAACTTTAGCTTAAAAAGTTCAATGATGTGAAGTACAGGCCCTTTTCTGAAGTAGCTGTGAAAAAGCCAGATGAACCGTGCATGTGTAATAAAAAATACTTTCAATACAGAGATGAAGAGACCAAGGATAAAAGCCTCTCAGCCAAAGGCACATCTGGATTCTCTGTAGTACTAAAAATAAAGTCTAAATATCATGATCCAGTAGATCACATTGTTACAGGGATCTACTGAACGAGGCACCTAAATGTCAAAGAAAAGGATCGAAAAATTTGCCAGGCAACGTACTTCCATTGTCATTGCGCCTGTGAGTTGCTTTAGAATGGCAAAGTGTCCATGAAAATCTTATCCACAATGGGAGGGGGTGGCACAAGGTCCTCTAGCTTCAGGTAAAAAATGCGCTGAAGGCCTTGTGTGCAAAGGGTTCGGAGCTCTGGAAGTTTCCCTAGAAGTTTGGACAGACAATTGGGTCTGCTCAGGTCACTCACACTGGACGTCACATGCTCCTTAAGGCAATTAATAATCCGATTCTGAAGATCTTCCACTTTTTTGGACTCTTTCAATCCATGTCGATCTAATGGGAGGATGAAAAAAAAAATTAAAAAATTACATATTCACTTTTTTGACCAATATTCAAAGCCAACAAAACAAAAAAGAGAGCTGGTGAACATTAGCCCCTATAATACTACATGAACAGATGTTCAGATTTATTTAAAACATTAGTTTAATTATTGTAGGTCAGTACGTAAAATAAGTAGCTAGCACTCTTGTGCTGTGTGTGGGTAAATTAAGCTCCTGTTTATTTCCCAAAAATATCAAAATGGCACATGCTAAAAGTGAAAGGCGGGCTCCTTGGGCAGTTATTGACGGAAGTTATCAGTCTCACAAGAGCAAATGCTTCTGAAGGTTTATATTTATTTGAACCAGTATCAAAATAAAGTGAAATGAAATCTCATTGATGGGTGTACATCAATATTTTACTTATACTCAGAAAATATACTTTGTTTGGTAATTACATTCAATGAGCGAAGAATTGATTGATGTACAATATATTAAAATAGCAAATATTCAAACCAACTCACCCCTGGCTCACTAATTGATAAACATAATTAAAGAATAAGCAACCAAATTTCACCTTCAATCGAAACAAAAAAAAACAAAAAAAAAAGCTGCCTGACTAAACTAAAATAAATATCACTTCAGCCCTGCAAAAGGCAACCTTTACAGGCAAACTAAAAGGTTTAGAATAGACAGTTTGTAAATTGAAAATATCAGGATCTCTACAAAAGTGCAGGTAACCCTGTCCTTAGCTGATGCACAGATTTTGTACATTTGTATGTGTACTGCAGGAGACCTATGTTTACCTGTAATGATGACAAGGGCAGAAAGGCAGGAGAAAGATGGGACATCGATATTCATCCGTTGCAGACTGTGTGAAAATTCAATGATTGAATCAATCCACTCTCCGAATCCCCGGACACACTGCATGCGATGAAGTACCACTCCATTACAGAAGATGAGCTTTCCTTCATCAGGTTTTGATCTGGTTAGGAGAAAAAAAACAAAACACCACAGTCAAAAACAAAAAACACACAAACAATATTCATTGTGTTCAATGTCTAACATGATAGCTAGGAGAAAACTTCTAAAGTGCCCATGTAAAAAAGTTAGTCCCAGGGATGAAATAATTGAATCACATAGAATGATTGCTAGTGTGTTCATTTTACGGTCACAAATAAGTCATACCATCAACTAAAATGCATCTGTATTTCTCAACAGGACATTCTAGAGACCTGAACAGCCAGTTCATACATTTGTAGTAAAGCTAACCTGGAATAAAGTGGAACTGGCACTTCTCTAAAGTTATACCAATAAAACCATTTCACACAAAAACAAACTTACTAAATATAGAGGTTAAGTAAACAGCTTGGAAGAAAAAAAAAAAAAAAAAAAAAAAAAAAAGTTAATTCTAGGAACGGACAGTCCCCTTAAACAAAACAAACAAAAAAAAAAACCTCAAACCACAAAACCTGAAATGTTTTTAAATTCTATTCTAGCTCTATTCCGGATCTACAAGAGAGAAAATGAAGCACCTAATGGTAAGCCTGATCAGCTGCACCAGCTTCATAAAACGATGTGATTCTTAAAGGATGTCAATGAATGGTTGCCACAAAAGCAGCATCTCATTCACTGAATGACCAAAAAAATACAATAATAATAAATAAAATACAAATGGGAAATGCACATAGCTCTAGTGAATTGCAAGTTAGAAGTTATTTTCCATTAACTAGAGGATAGTGTAGGAGTGGCAACACAGTGATCCACAGGATAAGACTCTTGTAAACTAATGTTTCTATTAAGAGCAATGAAGTAGGAAGGTGCTTGGTTTTTCTAGACTCTAGAACTCTAATAAAATGTAAACAATCTGTTTAAAAGTGTACGCAATAATAACATGACAGCCACCAGGTTTTGAAACGGTTGATTTGTCAATTATCTGTCAAAAAAATATAATCTTGCCCATTTTGTAGTAATCGTAAATAGAATAGATGAGCCCAACATTAAATTGTGCCCGATATGGTCCTCCCTCCCCTTTTGGCTCGTCTATCAGCCAAAGAATCAGATTTCTCCAGTAGGCAGGTATCTCTGCCTTCTCACTTGTTTATTACGGCACGTCCTGCTCAGTGTTCAGAACGGGATTAGGAACACAAACTACAGACCCACTGACAGCTGGTTTACCTGTATGCCAGGCGCAGGATGAACAGTTCCAAAAACGCAGACTCTAGAAGAAGGTCCTGATCTTCTTTGGGGAGATCCAGAAAGCCTTGGATTTTCTCTGCCCACTTGCGTATCACTTCCAAGGAACCTGAGAGTAGATCATAAAACTGTTGCACATCGAGAGCGTTCTCCTTCTCCAACTGGACAGGCAAATTTTCCTGAAACTAAAAAAAACCAAAAGAGGCATGGTGTAAAGCTTTTTCTTTTTGGAGCCATCTCTAAACATTTCATAGGGTTACCCCATAATTAGCAGCTTAACGTTTTACATAATGCCTTCTTCACTTTAAGCTATATCATAGCATGTACAGTTTTCACACATTAAGGAATGGAGAACATGTTAAAAAAAATAGCATGACAAAAGGAAGCAAAAAAAAACCAAAAACCAAAAAAAAAAAAAAACACTGTTCTTTAAGAATCATATTCCAAAATTCTAAATAAACAGGCAAGATCTTTATGGGCCAGATACAGATGTTGCCAAAATGGCACAATTTGGTTCAACTCTATTTTATAATGTCCCGTTCATTTTGGTGTTTTTTTTATTTTAATAAAATGCATGTACTAGAGTAGAGTACAACTAAAAGTTACGGAAGCTTGAAGGCAAGACATTCAAAACTTACTATGTCTGTTTTGTCTTTTCGACTAGTATTAATCACATTGCTCAATGTGACCAAAGCTGCAAAGTTTGTTGCCACAATGCAAGATAAGAAGAATAATGATAATATGTTTAGTGACACATGTTGGATAAAGTAATGGCAATACAACGTCTGGTTAATGAGGCATGCAGGACATACAATGGACTGTTGTATGCAGCAATGGGGACTTTGGCCAGAAGTTGCAGGAGGTTTGCCGCTCTGAGATTGCAGTTGTCACTAGGGGTATTTTTGCAAAAAAATAAATAAAATCTGCACAAGTAACAGTTCTGCTTTCACTTGCTTTATAAAAATATGAAACATTTGTAAAAAGTAAACAGAGGTAACCTTAAAGGACCACTTCAGCTTAATGAAGTAGTCTGGGTGCCAGGTCCAGCTAGGGTTAACCCATTTTTTTCATAAACATAGCAGTTTCAAAGAAACTGCTATGTTTATGAATGGGTTAAGCCTTCCCCTATTTCCTCTAGCGGCTGTCTCGACAGCCGCTAGAGGCGCTTGCGTGCTTCTCACTGTGATTTTCACAGTGAGAGCACGCCAGCGTCCATAGGAAAGCATTATGAATGCTTTCCTATGTGACCGGCTGAATGCGCGCGCAGCTCTTGCTGCGCGTACGCATTCAGCCGACGGGGAGGAGAAGAGGAGGATAGCTCTCCGCTGGAAAAAGGTAAGTTTTAACCCCTTTCCAGAGCCGGGCGGGAAGGGGACCCTGAGGGTGGGAGCACCCTCAGGGCACTATAGTGGTCCTTTAAATTTACAACCCGAGCATTCTAGATAAAAGTAATTATATGGGATTTATGTAGAACTTTGGGGCTAAATTCTAAAGTGGAGCAACAGCAGAACATTCCGTGACTGCTCTACTTTATTTAAAAAAAAAAAAAAAAAAAGTATTGCCTCATTATACATAAAGACTATAGACCAAATAAGCAGAGCAGGAAACTGCACATGCCAACTTACCTTGGAATAGTCTAGCTTTGCAGAACTGGGAATTGAATCGATGTGTGCCCGTACCAGGGAATTTATCAGACTGATGGGAGAAGGGTCTGGAATTTGCCTTGGTTTAGATGGCAGTCGGCCCCTTCTGCCCTTTAAGCTGTCTGTCCGAACAACTAGAAAAGATCACATGTCCCATAAGTACAATGTATGGAAGTAAAAGGCACAGATCAAATAGCAAAGACAGAGACTGAGACAGATACCCTCCTCCTGCAATTGGATGGGATATCGTCCTTATATTTAAAGTATACCCTCCTGCCATCAATTCTTAAAAAAAAAAAAAAAAAAGAAGAAGAAAACACAACCCACACACAAAAATTAACTCTGCATCAAGACAGGCTTACTTCAGGCCCATTCTCCTCCAATGAGATATAGTACAGAATCATTGAAGGTACATAGAACATGCATAAAAGTCACAGTAAACCAATTGCAATGCATATTTATGAGATGCATTGAATCAAATTCTTGTCAAAAAAACTGACAACTTTTTGAGGAATGCCACTCTTCATTTGGGCATCCATCAGGCAGTATCTATGCCCGAAAATCACTGATGTTGGTGCATAAAGCGGTCTCTTTAAGAATGTGGTCATCTAATATTTGTAACTAACAAATTGCCTTATACCTAATAAAGCACAGACTCCCCACATTATTTTCTTTACATACCTTCTTTTACCATTCCCACTGCTAAGCATTTCTGAAAACGGCAGAACTGGCATCGATTCCTGCGCCTTTTGTCCACCGGACAGTCCTTGTTAGCCAAGCAGATGTACTTGGCATTTTTCTGTACAGTCCTCTGTGGGGAGAAAATGGAACAATTGTCAGGGGAAGAAAGATGCCAGGCTCAGACAAAGCCTCTTCTGTTCCCATTTATTTTTGTAACATTTCTCTGGTGTCGGACTGTTCCTAATATCAAGTTGACATTTGGCTCCTAACGAAAGAGAATGATTCACCTATCTTAATTAGCAAACCATCTCTTCTAAAGCACCTGATTTGTCCACAACACTGGTGGGTCTGTGGAGGGGGTGGGTCGACAAAGTGGCATATTTAAAATAAAAAAGTGGGGGGGAGAATGGAATCTGCACCCAGCAATGCTAGAGATATCAAGATTGATTCCTGCAAATGTAAGGGATTCTGGCCAACACCCAGTCTTTGAAGTGGGAGAATGATGCTCAGGTTCTAATAACCTCTGAAAACTAAATATACGTATTCTGTGCACTAAACATGAAATGCAATATTACAAGCTCTGCGTGGAAATAACAAAAGACCAACACCTAATACACAAACAATTTAAAACAAGGTATACACAGTCATAAAAACAGTGCAAAGAATTTGCCATCAGTTTTGTAAAAATGGGTTAAAGAAAAGCAATGAATGGCTCAGCAGCTTTTTACCAACCAGTTATGTGCTACTTTAATTTAATTTAAGGCTGCACAAGGTATTATTTATTTGGAAGAATCAGATCTTTTACACAAAAACCTCTTCAGGGTACATTAAAATATATAAAAGGTCATTATATTTAGTCAAAATAAACCAATTATACAAATGTGTATGATATTTAATATTCATGGGCAGTTTAAAAAAAAAAAAAAAAAAAAAAGCTCAGTTTTAAAGATCCAAGCACAAGTCATGCGAGGACCACTTACATGGATTACCAAAAAAAGGCATTGTCAATTCACATAGCAAGCTTTGTTAAAATGTAAATGAAATTTACAGCACCAATAAATTATGATGTGCAAGAAATACAGGGTATTAAATACAAATCAGTGCTTGGGTAGAAAACGGTTAATGCATTGTTATCGCATAATGCAAAAGAGTATAGACTTACACAGTCAATACTCAAGGACAAAATAAAAATATACTAGTATATAAATAGTTTTTCATATCTTGCCATTAACTAAAAAGGAGTATTAACACCACTTTGTACGAAAAAATTAATATATTACAATCTGTTCTGTTGAGCCGTACAGTCAAAAACAATTTAAATATGGTAACCCTTTGGGCGAGTTAATTAAAAGTGAATAGCTTAGATGCTTTGCTTGAAATGGTATATTAACCCCTTAAGGACACATGACATGTGTGACATGTCATGATTCCCTTTTATTCCAGAAGTTTGGTCCTTAAAGGGTTAAGATGAAATAAAAAAAATAAAAAAAGAGAGAAGGATTGGTTACACAAATGCCATGTTTTGGTTTTTTTCAAGACATGTAACAGGCATTTTTACTTGTGTTAAACAGTCTAGGCATTTGGATATGGATAGATCCATATTAAATTTTATCTAATTATTATTAGAAGAGGCAAAATAACAAAACAAAACAAAAAAATCTTAATGTGCTACTGGTATGGAAATCATAGGTTATTTAAAAACAAAAAACAGAAGAAGTATTTACCAAGACTTTGAAAAAGCATGAGTAAAATAGATATGTTTATTTTAAAGTGGATTATTTGTGACCTTACACAGATGCAGAGACATTCTGTGCAGTGTTGGGCACTTTTGATGTTTAATGTGATTAATGTCTACCACCCTAGCATGATGGATTAAAGTTGCAGTTTATTTCACACCGTTCCAACACCTGCTGCCTAATGGAAACTTTTGGTATCCTAACCACTATCTAATTGGTGTTGGGTTCCTCCTCTTATACCCAGTTTGCCCCTAGCTCAATCATTTCAACGGACGAGGCATCAGAGCTGATCAAATGGTGCAGCACTGGGCCAAGAAACTTTACACGGGAGAGGACAGCTGCTACCTTTTAACACCATGGGATAGTTTTGGGACGAGCCCCCTTTCTTCATCCCAAGGAACGCGTGTCAGCTGAAGCGCAAAGACTGGATGGCTCGAAATCAAAAACATATGCCAGGATGGCCTGCCAAGTCTGTAGGCCAAGTAGCACCCTGGGAGACCAACAGGTGAAGCAAGCTAGGTCTGGTCGAAGCAGAGATAGCCAATCAGTAAAGGGCAAATATTCAGTGCTTACCTTGAAAAAACCTTTACAGCCTTCACAGGTTCGTACTCCGTAATGCTGACAAGAAGCATTATCGCCACACACAGCACAACGTCCCTCATTAGAGCCGGGACTACGTGCTTTTGAAGGGGATAAAGGACTGTCCAAAATCACGGGCCCCTGACCGAGGGACACGGCAGGAAAGCCAGCAGTAGAGTTCTGTGCTAAAGCAAAGACATCAGCATCCACAACCTGCTGCTCAAGTCTGTGTGTGGTTTGTGCCATCTTTAAGGAATTCTGGGCCATGTTTGGGCTGTGAGCAGATGTACCAAAGGAGAAAAAAGAAGGCTGTGGAATACTGCTTTTCTGCTGTTCAGTCCATGGTCTCATGCCGTCATAACTCTGTGATGGAGAATAAGCTCCGTAGGAAGTATCCCATGTAGGCATCTGAGGATTTTGGAACCCTGGAGTTGATGGAGATGGGATGGAGCACGGACTGCCATAATAATCCGATCCACTAGAGGACATTGTCTCATCCATTTGGTTCGTGAATGAACCTGGGTAGCAGCCAAATACCTGAAACTCCTCCACCTTTACCGATGCCTGTGGATTTGAAGAAGGGATCTGGTATAGAAAGGCGTCAAATTCTCCAGTGTAACCGTCCATGAAGGTGCTGAAGCTTGGTAAGGAGGTGGAAGCTGTAATTTCACTGTTAACAAGGTCCATGGTGAATTTGCCAAACTCTGAATTCAAGAGGTCTGGTATGTAGCTATCACAGGGACCTGCACACTGAGACAGACTTCCATGCTGAGCTTGAATACAGGGCATTTCTAGATAGAGGGAAACATAACAAGGATAAATTAACTTTGCTTCCAAAGACTAAGCTTTTATAATACATAAAGAAACCACCTTTTAAATGTGTTCTTTCAATTTGCAGGATAGCAGTAATAGGCACAGGAAACAAACCGGACAAATTTTACAGTACGTGTTAGTGGCTGAAAAGTGAATAGAGATATCTGCTGTATATACACACACACCCTCGGAAAAATCCATGCCACAGAAACAAGGAAACTCCATGGGCAGTGGGCAAAGTGAAAACGACTGGGAGGCGCCAGATCTATTTATGAAGCAACAGGCTCTAGCCAAATAGTCCTACAAGGCTACTTTGACATTGCAAAGCACCGTCCAGTTCTTTCTTTGGCGTAGTGACATAAATTTACTTGTCACCACTAAGAGCTATTGAGTTTGAGCCAGACTGTCTCAAGTTTTCAATAAGAACCTGCAAATGTGAGGTTTGCTGTAATACACCTCTCCATTGAAAAGATTTTTTTAAAAAAAATTACATATTTTGGTCAAATAATAAAGCATTAACAAAACATATCTAACCCTTTCAATTGGCTGATCCCACTGGCCTTAAGCTCAACATTAAGATAAGAGCAGCCATTTTAAAACTACAATAATCAAATGTATGTTAAATGCAATAGGAATTGTTTTAAAAAAAAATTAAAGTAAATTTTTCAATCCCAACGCAATTTAAAACCTTAGAAGTGAGCAAAGCAAACAACGGATTTGTTCAGTTGTTTGCAATGGATGAAACTGTCCTGTTACCAATGTAATGTAACTTTTGCATAAAGAAATTCGATCTTGCTTAGAAGTTAAGGAGCCAACGACAGCACATTGCATTGGTTTTAAAAGCACATACAGGAAACTTTTTGTACCTCAGTGTATTTATTAAAATCAAGCAAAGTAGGAAGGAGCATTCCACAAAGCTAGGCCAAGTGGACGTCAGAGATCATGGCTCTTGCAGAAAGACTTTAAAAGACTAGTGGCAATTCAAATAATTTATGTGACACAAATAATTTTGAAAAAAAACTAATTTTTTAAATAAATATATATACACACACACACACATATATGGAAATAAGTTTCCATGGGGGTCCTCACTTGCTCATCTGTTACATTGTCGTGCTAACTAAGTAATAATGACAATTCCAAACACAAGTCCGTATCAAACTTCACTGTACATGCATACTTTGTAAAAATAAGGAACATTGATGGGCGTTTACAAGATACTTGATTTTTTTGTATTTGTATGCTATAAACTCATTAAGACTACTCAATAGAGGATTGCACTGTATAAAAACATGCACTTTGGGAATTCAACAGCTGACAAAGACCATTTTAATCCAACACAATACAACTGTTTTATAAGGCTTATGGGTTAGACGCTTCCCTAGAGGAAATGCAACTAGTAGCAAGAGATAGGAGGCTGTACAGAGCCAAGAAAGCACTTTGCCACAGGGACACAAAAGCACTGCAGAAGATTTGTTCCAGATAGGTTGGGTTGTCCTATAATACACACGTTTGCCATTTAAAATGGATCATTATCTCATAGCTGCTCTTGGCGTGAATCACGGTGTATAGAAAAGCCAAGGCTTTGTGTGGCTACACAGGCTATCCAACGAAAAAAAGAACCTATATCAACGTATAAGAAAAGTTAATCAAAGTAATTAAGTTGGTTTTGCATGGACAAACATCATGCAGCAATCAAATACAAGAGTGCCAACACACGACAATTTTAAAGATATGCTTTCATAATTATTTGAAATCTGTACCCCCAACCGCAATATGCATTATAGAACAGTATTGCAAGCGGAGAATAAAGTTATACAACCCAACCAGCACACAGCTGCAAGCAGGATGAAAGCTAAGATCTATTTTGCAGACACTAGTGGTGTCTGTTAGGGAACTGGCAGCTATCTGCAGGTGTACATTGAACAAGGCACAAAAGACTTCTTCAGACTAGCTTGTTAAGTATCAAATTCACTTCTTACAATGGATATTTGCTCCATTATTGCAGAATATATTAGAACACATCTGGGAATTCTGTGTGAACAAGCATCTACAACACCATGTGCAATATAATTCCCCAAAAATAAAATAATATTAATGTATACATTTAAACTTTAGATTATTTGTGTATTTATAGATTCAAAAACAGATTTTACAGTGTACAATGCCAGCATGAAAGGAGTCTACATGACAGGTTGTCTCTCCTAGCTGTAGAAACCTGCTCACGTTGCCAGGGGCAGCCCCAAGCAATGAATTTGCAGCCTATCTGCTGCACACCGGCTACAATAGCATCACAGATTGTGCAAAGTTGGATGGCATTGGGGATAAGACAAAAAAATATCAATTAATATGCAAAAATAATAATAATAAAATAATACTGATGTAAATGTCATCAACACATTCTAAAAAAAAAACAAAAAACAAAAAAAAAAAAACACAGCCAAAACCAAACCCATACAGCATGCACATTCTAAACAGAATCCTCAGGTTCTTTCTTCCAAATTAACATTCTAGAACCCAATACAGTATAAGCCACCTTCTAATGGATTTCATTCTGCATCGAGAATCCCCAGAAAATGAGACTAATTCCTGCAATCCGGGCAGCCTCCATGACAGCCTGCTACATTAAGGAATGGGCTGCAGCTGAACAATAGGCATGCACTGAGTGTGTGCAGAATGAATGGACTATCGCCATGTCGCGACATACCAGGTCTGTCAGTGGTGTGTGTCCCCGGAGCGGGCTGTCCGCAGGGGGTCAGGGTAGTGCAGTGTGATGGCAGTGCTGGCCGCTCCCTGCACTGGCTGTGGCTGGCTGCTCGCACTGTCCCTTCTCACGGCTCACTGTGCTCTCAGACCTGCATGTCAAATCTATTAAAGCCTCTGTGACGCACGAGGGGGCGCGGCCCCGGCACGGGGGGTGTGTGACGCACGTTAGTGATGGTGACCACTCTCCATAGAAGGGCAGAGGGGGCGTGGCCTTTCCGGCAGCGCGAGCTTGGAATGTGTCCCCAGTGACGCACGGCTTTTCCTATGACGCAGGCAGCATTGTTTGATCTATTAATAGGCCGGGCGCTATTCTTAGCAGCCGGCGGCGGGAGGGACCCGGCTCCAAATAGCAGCACCGAGCGTCATGGGGCCGGCCGGCGGATACAGCACGGGGGCAGGAGGGTTCCCGGGGATTCTCTGCATATTTACGGCGGAAGGGATTCCATAGGCTGGGCGGGAGCTGCGGCTGCCTTTACATCACACACAGAGCCAGCCAGCCACCCTGGGCTACTGCATGGAACACACACAGAGCCAGCCAGCCAGCCACCCTGGGCTACTGCATGGAACACACACAGAGCCAGCCAGCCACCCTGGGCTACTGCATGGAACACACACAGAGCCAGCCAGCCACCCTGGGCTACTGCATGGAACACACACAGAGCCAGCCAGCCACCCTGGGCTACTGCATGGAACACACACAGAGCCAGCCAGCCACCCTGGGCTACTGCATGGAGCACACACAGAGCCAGCCAGCCACCCTGGGCTACTGCATGGAACACACACAGAGCCAGCCAGCCACCCTGGGCTACTGCATGGAACACACACAGAGCCAGCCAGCCACCCTGGGCTACTGCATGGAACACACACAGAGCCAGCCAGCCACCCTGGGCTACTGCATGGAAGCACCCTGGGCTACTGCACAGCACAGCCAGCTAGCCACCCTGGGCTACTGCATGGAACACACACAGAGCCAGCAGCCACCCTGGGCTACTGCATGGAACACACACAGAGCCAGCCAGCCACCCTGGGCTACTGCATGGAACACACACAGAGCCAGCCAGCCACCCTGGGCTACTGCATGGAACACACACAGAGCCAGCCAGCCACCCTGGGCTACTGCATGGAGCACACACAGAGCCAGCCAGCCACCCTGGGCTACTGCATGGAGCCAGCCACAGAGCCAGCCAGCCACCCTGGGCTACTGCATGGAACACAGAGCCAGCTAGCCACCCTGGGCTACTGCATGGAACACACAGCCAGCCAGCCACCCTGGGCTACTGCATGGAGCGCACACAGAGCCAGCTAGCCACCCTGGGCTACTGCATGGGAGCCAGCTAGCCACCCTGGGCTACTGCATGGAGCCAGCTAGCCACCCTGGGCTACTGCATGGAACACACAGCCAGCCAGCCACCCTGGGCTACTGCATGGAGCGCACACACAGCCAGCCAGCCACCCTGGGCTACTGCATGGAGCGCACACAGAGCCAGCTAGCCACCCTGGGCTACTGCATGGAACACACAGAGCCAGCCACCCTGGGCTACTGCATGGAACACACAGAGCCAGCTAGCCACCCTGGGCTACTGCATGGAACACACAGAGCCAGCCAGCCACCCTGGGCTACTGCATGGAACACAGCCAGCTAGCCACCCTGGGCTACTGCATGGAACGCACAGAGCCAGCTAGCCACCCTGGGCTACTGCATGGAACGCACAGAGCCAGCTAGCCACCCTGGGCTACTGCATGGAACGCACAGAGCCAGCTAGCCACCCCGGGCTACTGCATGGAACACACAGCCAGCTAGCCACCCTGGGCTACTGCATGGAGCGCACAGAGCCGAGCCAGCTAGCCACCCTGGGCTACTGCATGGAGCACACGCAGCCAGCTAGCCACCCCGGGCTACTGCTAGTGCATGGACCACACAGAGCCAGCCTAGCCACCCTGGGCTACTAGAAACCTGCCTGTGCTGCTAGTGCATGGAGCACACAGAGCCAGCTAGCCACCCTGGGCTACTGCATGGAACACACAGAGCCAGCTAGCCACCCCGGGCTACTGCTAGTGCATGGACCACACAGAGCCAGCCTGGGCTACTGGAAACCTGCCTGTGCGGCTAGTGCATGGAACACACAGAGCCAGCTAGCCACCCTGGGCTACTGGAAACCCGCCTGTACTGCAAATGTATTTACCATCTGCCATTACTAAACATTAATAGAATATCATATGGCCCAGCTAGCCATCCTGGGCAACTAGAAACTGGCCTGTACACTGCTAATGTATGGACCAGTAATATAGTATACACAAATAGCATATTATTATAGAGACCAGCTGTCATAATACATTAATAATTTATTATGTGGACCTAGAGTCATTACGATATATTAATAGATTATATGAACCTGCTCAGCACAATGCCTGATATTTATAAAAACAGTTCTGATATTTTATAGGTCTTCATATGCCAATCTTTTTGGTTTGAGGTTAAGTGGGCCATTGTCGTTTAAAAAAGAAATATATATTTATTTTTTTCAAAGAGCAACAACAGTATGGTTAATGCCATTATACAATACTGCAAAATAAGGTGGTAAATTTTATGGCAAGACAGGAGGCATCATATTTGCTTTACCTTCTTTACTGAAAACCTCCAGCAGCAAAGAAACTGTTAACAGAACTTTTTCAAACAACCAATCAGAACAAAATAACAGCAGTATGAAATCCCTCCTACTTCCTCTTTTTTTGCTGCTGCGTCCAGTTATGTTGTCTATAGACTTTTCAAGATGGAGGGTATCCATCTCCTCAGAGACCTGCTCTGCGAGAGCGATTGGTTCTTTTAACTGGATCTGAGGGAAGCCTACCTCACGGCCCCGATCCATCTGATTCAGGGCCTGGGATTCGCCCTCAACGTGAAAAGAAATTTTAAAAAAAAAGTCGGAACTGGTCCCCTCTGTCGGTCCAGTTTCTGGGTTTTGTGGTGGATTCAGTTCAGGCGGTGCTCAGTCTTCTGCTGTCAAAGGTGACCACCTTCAGGAAGGATATCAGATGCCTACTCCGCGACACACGGGTCACACTAAGGGACCTGGCCCGGACGTTTGGCCTGTTGTCATCCTCCATTCAAGCCATCTTCCAGGACCCTGCACTCTCGGGCACTCCAACACCTGAAGGCTCGCTATCTCAGGTCATCTACCTCATACGACAGTCATGTCAACTTCATTGGTGGCTGCAACATATGGAGGCCTAGACCGGCAAGGCGATTTTCGGACCTCAAACAGAATTTGGCCTGGAATCAGACGCCAGCTGTAGTGGGGCACTACTTGCAAAGGCATGGTGACAGGAGGACTCTGGAGGAGAGAGCTCTTCACATCTACTGTCTGGAACTTATTTCAGGATCGGTTGCCAGTCGCAGCTTCACCAAGGGGAAGAATCGCTGCTTATCCGCATAGACAATGTCCTGGCTGTCCGTTACATAAAATCGGTGGGGAGGTTTCCCACTTCAAACTGCTGTCGGATCTCACGAAGGATCTCTTTCAATATGGTCTGGACAAGAAGGTCACTTGTGGCAGAATATCTCCCGGAACAGGACATCAAGTAGCGGACTGGTTCTCCCGGCACTGGATAGACGTTACCGATTGGCAACTTCACCCTCTGTGTTTCAACTACTGGACTCATTCGGAGACACCCTTCACTTGGATCTGTTCGCATCCAAGGCGAACCGTTAGACGGAGTTTGTGCTTCAGTTGGCTTTCAGACCCCTCAAGGAGGCAGTGGACGAGTTTCTCCGAGACTGGCCTCCCTCGTGGGCATATGAGTTTCCCACTTTCTCCATGATACTTTGGACATTGCATCGGACCACACTCCTAGGAGTGTTGTTTCTCCTGGTCACAATACTTTTGAAGGAGTCAACCGTGGTTCCCTCTCTTGCTGGAGTTGTCATGCGAAGGGATCCACATCAATTTATATTAGAGGATCGCCTACCGCTAAGTGACTTGGACCATTTCCGGGGTTCCTGGGATGGTTTGGGCCTATCGACGACGGTTAGAGAGTTACTCCGGGACGTTTGGGCGTCTGGCACCAGAAGATCATACCTGCACGCTTGGCGATCCTGGCATAGCTGGTAGCTGAAGAGACGTTTGGATCCCTTTACGGCCCTATCATGGCAGTCCTGAACTTCCTGGCTGAATTGGTTTCTCAGGGTAAGTTGTATAGGACCATTAACGTCTTTCGGTCAGCTAGTTTGACGGCTCGTGTGCCTTCTCAAGACTCTGGCATTGGTAGGACTCCTCGGTCTGCAGACTACTCCTGTACGCCTTTCGAGACCCCTACCTCTAGCTATTCCTCATTTTGGGTTGTATCGCTTGTTCTGCGATTCCTTGAGGAGTGGCCTGATAACAGGGATTTGTCTTTGCACTAGCTGGCTCTCCTGTTATGTCTTGTATCTTTTCGTCACCTTTTTTGATGTTAGTGCTCCTGATTTTACACATGGATGAGATCTCATTCCTCTTCTGGGTCGTATCCCTATTCTCCAGATAGGCCACGTCTCTGTGTGGCACGTTACCTACGGATATATATGCAGGACTTCGTCCTTTTGCCCATCTGCTCATGGGAAGCTGTTGATTTCCTACGTACAACTGTTAAGGGCTGTTTCTGCACCTACGGTTGCTCAGTGGTTTCTCTCATCGGCTAGTGTGGCGAGTTCTTTTGGGGCACTGAAGCTTCAGCAACTTTAGAAGCCAGTGGGTACCTTACAGCTATTTCTCGGCGCCGCTGTTTGGTCTAGGGAATTGACTTTCCGTACTTTTTATTTCCGTCTACGATCTCATGTTTCTTCTGTTTGTATGTCCGGGTGTTAAAATTGCAAATATGAAGCCTCCTGTCTTGTCATAAAATTAGGCATCATTCTAGCCTCAGTGAGGGAATAATCTACATTTTATTAAAGATAGGAGGCGAATATTTCCCACCCTGGAATTATTTTCCTCTTATGCTACTTAGGGATATTATGTTTTACAATGTATGGTCTTATGTTCAGTAATAAAGATTTTTTTTTTTTTTCTTCCTAATATACGGTTTTGGTTGTCCATCTGCGTTTAGTCCGCATGTATTATACTGTGGAAATAATATTGTATGGATATGACCTCTTGCCTTGACAGTTTACTTTCCCTTTTTCTTTTTCCTTGCAGTGTAATCTGGTTTTGGCAATTTCTTCTCTAGATGTACCTGTTACAAGTTGGATTCGTTGGTTTTCCTTGCTGTCCTGCTCGGCCTCCTCAAAGAAAGGAAGTGGAAAGGTCTGACGGAGGGATTTCATACTGCTGTTATTTTTGTTCTGATTGGTTGTTTGAAAAAGTTATGTTAACTATTTCTTTCCTGCTGGAGGTTTTCAGTAAAGGTAAAGCAAATATGAAGCCTCCAGTCTTTAATAAAATTTAGATTATTCCCTCACCGAGGCTAGAATAATCTCTAATTATAAAAAATGATTTATACACACATCCATACAAAGATACAACATAATCACATAATTGTTAAGTAACATTTGCAGTGCTGTAGGATAAGCTTGCACCCAGCAACTACATTTGTTCATCTCTAGTTTATTTTTATTACGCATGCCCAGATGAAAAATAAATGTAGAGAGATACAGATCAGTACATGTCATTAAGTCCTTACTAACACCTTCTATTTCAGGCTCACATTTGTCTACTTTTATGCAGGTCAAATCCCTGTATTTGGCCTCTGCCATGCAAACCATTTAATAATGTCCTGTAACTGGCGCACTGCCCACTTTAAGAGGAACTGTCCACTTTTATTTTGTGAGTCTCTGGTTTTGTTCTAAAATATATTTTCAATAATAGAAATGCTTTAGTGAATTCAAAATGGAAGTGAAACGTTTGTAGTAAACTTAGTAAAAAGTATTTATTTCAATAAAATGTCCAAAGAACTGTGCAACTCATACACAGTTAAAAAATACACAACCAGTTAACTTACTATTACAATGTATTATTACCTCTGGAATGACCGTTCCTCTTTAAAAATGAAAATTTTATTTCAGACACAAATTCCTTTCTTAGTCGCAATACTTCTGTTTACTAGACTTGCATGACGTTTTCATATTGAGTTTAAAAATGCACCTAGGGCATTTGTGCTCTCCTGCCTTGAATTAACCTCATTTCCTAAATGACGAAACCAGTAACGCAATGAGGGAGGGGTGGGAGTTTATAAGTGCTGTGCCAACATTTTCTTTTGAAAATAATTTACAGAATTACAAATTATTTTACTTTTCTGTAAAAAAACAATACAGGCTTTTATATGAATCAGATTTCTCAGAAGGTTACCCCTGTGTAAAGGGACACTATAGGCATCAAAATAACACTTGCTTACTGAAGCAGTTTTGGTGTGCCCCATGCACTCTCACTGCTCAATTCTCTGCCATTTAGGAGTTAAATCACTTGTATTCCTGTTTATGCAGCCCTAGCCACAAATCCCTTAGCCGTGACTCACAGCCTACAGATGTTATTTGCTTTTATCTCCTGCTCTGTAAATCACAAACAGTAGGCTCCTGCAGGTTCTAGAAGACTTAACAGAGCAGGAGATACATTGTAAATCAAACAGAATGTGCAATGAAGGAAGTTTAAACCTTAGATGTCTCTCTGCAGGAAGTGTTTAGGAAGACGGTGCAAGTCACATGCAGAGAGGTGTTACTAGGGCTGTATAAACAAATTGATTTAACTCGTAAATGGCAGTACTGAACTGCAGAGGCATGATCTGTACACCAAAACCACCTCATTCAGCTAAAAAGTTGTTTTGATGCCTATAATGAAGGAACATTATTACTGTTTAGATAAATACAGAATACACATGTACAATTCCAACCCTTTTGATTTTAAAAACCTACATCTGCATGCAAAAAAATTTTTAAAACATTAAATATAGTACATAGAGATGTGGTATATATATATATATATATATATATATATATATGCACACTGCAAATGGATTTACAAACTGTACTCTTTGGATACATTATTTTGTGAACCTAGGCAAACAAACCAACTTGTATGAGAAATCCTCTAGGGAAAAAACAGTTTTCTAGTAGCAGCCACCGTACACACCATACAAGGTATGCCATGTATTCCTTGCTAAGGGTTAATAAGTATGTAGGGTTTTAGAAAAATTACCTTTTAGGTAAAAGCAGCAAGGCAAATTATTAGTGTAGGACTCACTAAAAATGAGCTTACATTTTAATGGCAATTGGAGTGATGCTAAAAAAAAACTCCAGTTATTTAAACGTGTATATGGATTTGGGATTGTGTTCAAGTAGCTATTTGGTTTTTACATTATTTTGGGAGCTAGCAAACTAACCTGTATAATAAAGCCACAGGGAAAAAATGTAACAAAAACCAGAACCGTAACCTTCTAGTTTCAGCTCAACACCAACAAGGTATGCCTGACAGTCAAATCTTTAGAATTAAAAATATAGTCTCTGAGCCAGCTAGACTTGAACCCAGACGCAATGAAATGTCAAAACAAATTTGTAAAATGAGGGTACCAAGGATAAACTTGACAAACAAGGAATGTGGGGGGGGTTACTTAGCAAGGGCTGGAGATGTCAACTATTGAAATACCAGTGCGGATATAAAAATACAGACAGAATACCACTTCAAGCCCTATATACAGCTATGGGCAATGCAGGCATAATAATGGTACATTAAAACTAGCACACATTCAGATACAATTTACCATTACCTACAGATTATTAGTAATGTGTGTACTAAATGTACATGTGAGCAGTTGCATTTCAGAGACTTGTTGCCCACTGAAAAAAGTATACCTAGGTAATATAATATAACCTCAAGCTGGGCAGGTTTGGTCTCTTCTGAGTCTTCAAGCTACCTAGTGACACAATCACTAGAAGAATATGGCTCATAAAGCTAACCAACTGCCTATCCAGGTTACATATGCCGTAAAAACACTCTATAGAGAGGGTGTCAGCTGAATTAAATGTGCAGAGGAACCACAAGGTTGTATTCAAACATATAATCACTCCATGTGTTACATAGTATGAAATACAAAACCACCTGGGATCAGTACAAAACAAAAAACACAAACACGAATTCCATTTATTTTGCAGCAGACAACCTGGGTGAGATATTTATCATTTTAATCAAAAATAACTTGTTTGCATTGCTTAACTTGTGATTATTGCAAACTCCTTCTGCTTCTGATGCAGGTTTCCTTTCTGAAAATATATTGTACATATTTTCCATTTAGTGTATCTATGCACCCATCTTCGTGTTTAATTTTTAGCAATACTATTAAAAAAAAACAAAAAAACTTTTCCTGGAAGGCTAGGTGTACCTGCATTAAAAAAAAAAAAAAACACCCACAACATTCATTTCATGTACTGCCTATACTGCATGTGTTGATCTCTGAAATTTGTTCAGGAGTCTATTTTTTAATGGAGTAAGCTTCGAACATTGGTTTTCTAGTTTACCTTTGACATACTGGATACACACATTTTCCTTTTTACATGAACAGTGAAAGCTGGTAATCTAATCAGCAAATCACAGCTTCTGGAACACAAGATGTGTATTCCAAACGCTAGAGTGCCTTAGTCAACATTTAACTTCCCTTGCTTCCCAAACCTTGCTGCTCTGTCCATGCCTGGTCCTGCCTCCTTGGTTGAAATCACAGAGATCGATGATCTCAGCCAATGCTTTCCAGCACTGGGAGACTAGCACGCATGTGAGGCAAGGTAACACGCTGTGCCAATCAGATGATTTGTATGAGAAAATAGGGACTAAAAAAAAAAAAGTGGAATTTTACTCCACGACATCAGTGAAGCGCCTCTCTACTTGCTGTTAGATGTGGCAGCCACTAGAGGCAGGTTAACCCTGTAAATAAAAATCTTTGCGGTCCCTGCAGAACTGAAATGGTTTAGATTGCAGGGTTAATACACAGGGCACATGGCACCCAGACCACTTCATTTGCATGAGGTAGTCTAGGTGGTCCTGTAGTGTTCCTTCAATGGACTTTAAATCAGTGGCGGTCACTGAAGATTTTAAAATTGTGAAACAATTCCAGAAATGCCATCTTTACATGGAAACACTTAAGGTAAAATAAAGTTTACTTTATTCACCGTCAACCAAACTGAAATTTCATAGAGCTGAAGGAGTCCCTGCTATTTTGAAATTGATCTTCTTGCTGCAGTGAGATTAGTTTTAAAAAAAATAAAATAAACAAACAACCAAATTACCCTGCTGTTACAATATGACCAAAAATAAATGAATAAAATTATTAAGGGAAGTTAGTTACAATTTCAGTTTTCAATCAGAAAAACGTATATAGAGATTTGTCAGATTTTAACAGTTAGCAAATAAATGTATGTTTTATGGCTTAAAAACAACCAAATTAGAACTTTGTGAATAGCCAAAAGATTTTTAACCTTGTAAAGTTTCCGTTGAAACAGCCAAATTTGGAAACTGGATGGCATTCCACTGACATTCAACGTTTAGTGAAAAAACCCTTAGATTTTCATGACATACTCACAGTTAAAATGACATAACATGGATGGATGAAATTAGTAATTTGGTGGTAGGGACATTGCCTTTTTAAAGATTTATACTTGGCAAAATATATTAATGGAATTGTCCCTCTCATTTAACCCCTTAAGGACACGTGACATGTCATGATTCCCTTTTATTCCAGAAGTTTGGTCCTTAAGGAGTTAAAAGCAAAGTGGCAGTACAGGGTTGCAGAGGCTAAATATATCATTGTTCTTGGGTAGTTAACCATACTGTACATCACTTTTATAATAGGAGCTGGGATATCTACTCTGTTTACTGGGTAAACAAAATTCTCAATTAATTGAAATCATCTCGTCTGTTGTATGTAGTACAGTGTCTATTTATTCTGTGTATATTTTTTTCATTTATTACATTTGCCTCTAGTAAACAAAAGGTGTAAATATTGTCAATGCTCCTTTATCAGTAACTGTTCTTTGAAATATTACCGAAGATGGTTATAATTCTTACGCATGTGTAGAATTACCTAAAAGGTCGCATGTTCCATTCATTTACAGGTAATTAGACAGTTCAAGTGTGTAAAGAAAAATCCATATTACATTTACTTTGTAATTAGTCACCATATTACATATGGCTATGCTGTCAAGCATTAACACAAGTAATCAATAAAGATAATATCCCAGCTACGTGAATAGGAAAAGTTGACTTTGTAAAAGGAGTTGCATCACTATAAATTTCCACAGAGTTAAAGAGGATTTTCTTCTGGAAACTGGGAAACTTTAGATTCTGCGCACTCACCAAATACCAACTTCAATGCTCAAATGATTCTGTAGCTTTTAAAAAAAAAAAAAAATACCCTACAATAATTTAGTTACAGTATATGATCATATATTGCACAGGCCTGCCACAACACCAATGTACCCCACTTTTGTCAGGTCCTTTCCTAGCAATCAAATGTCGCTCTTCTGAGATTAATCCACTTACTTGGGATAACCTTCCTCCTGGGACTCTCTGCAAGGCAAGGTTAAATAGGGCCCTGGAATGAGGCACCTGTGCCAGGGAGGAGTGCAAAGCCATGGGAGTACGGTATTACAGATAGATAGAAATAGTGAATAAATTAGAATATGAAAAGTGCATTGTTTTGAGAATTTGAAAGATATTTTTAAAGTTTGTTATGGTTGGTTTTCATTGTTTGACATTGTTCTTGTTTGGAAATGCACAGGAAGGGGCCCATTTAAAAGGGGTTGCAGATAGCGAGCATTCTATTAGTCTAACATATGACACACTGTGGATAGCAGCATAGTAGGACCACTGAGACACACACAAAAAAAAAAAAAAAATTGTCCTGAGCACTAGATTTTATAAAGCACATAAGGAAAAATAAGGACTATGTTTTTTTGTGTATCGGTAGCAAGTTGACAAAACCGGATATTGAGCAGAGCGTACTTATGGTTCTTTTTCAATTGCCAATCTAGTGTACCCAGAATCCATCTGTATAATCAATCCAACAAAAGGGCAAACATGGTCTAAGGAGATCAAAATGGCTGCAACCAGATCCAGATTATTATTGGTTATTATTTATATGGCACCAGCTTATTCGGCAGTGCTTTACAATAAGAGGGGAATTAACCAAATGAGACAATAACAAAATGTAACAGGAACAATAGGCAGTTGAGGATCCTGCTCAAACAAGCTTACAGTCTAGAGGAGGTGGGGTAGCAAAACACAATAGGAAGGGTATTGAGGGAGACAGCAAATTGACATGGTGGGAAAATAGCAGAGCGGGAGGTGAAAGTGGAGTGTGGCCCTGTAGGAGAGAGCAACAGGAAGGTTTGAGATATAGAAGTTATTCTTGGGAGGCATAAGCATTTAGGGACTTCTTAAATGATTGAAGACTAGAGGAGAGTCTGACAGGGGTAGGCAGGCTTTTCCAAAACAAAGGAGCCGCCCGTGAGAAGTCTTGCAGGCGTGAATTTGCAGGGGGGTAGTACGGCTTCTGGGGATTCAAATTATGAGGGAATTACAGTAATCCATGTGAGAGATTACTAGAGGATGAACAATCTCCTTGGCAGCATCTTGCGTAAGAAATGGGAGTATGCAGGCAATGTTTTTAAGTTGTAATCGACAGGTTTTAGCAACAGACTGGACATGAGGTGCAAAGGTGAGGCCAGGATCAAAAATGACACCAAGACAGTGAGCTTGAAAGGATAGGGTTAGGCAGGTACTGTCAACCTGCAGGGGGATTGAAGGAGGAGGCTTAGTTTTATGAGGAGGAAAAATAAGAAACTCAGTTTTAGAGAGATTGAGTTTCAGAAAGCAGGAGGACATCCAATAAAAGATAGAAGAGAGGCAATTAGTGACACGTTGTAGGACAGCAGGGGAGAGGTATATCTGGGTGTCGGAGTACAGGTGGTAGTGGAATCCATATGAATTAATGAGTTTGCCAAGAGAGGCAGTATAGCGAGAACAAAAGGGGACCAAGAACTGAACCTTGAGGGACTCTGACTGAGGCAGGATCAAGAGAGGAGGTGTCATTGGAAAAAAAGACACTGAAGGAGCATTGGGAGAGATAGGAGGAGAACCATGAGAGGGCTGTGTCAGAGACCAAGATATTGAAGAGTTAGGAGAAGGAGGCCATGATCAAGTGTCAAAGGCAGCAGAGAGGTCAAGAAGAATTAGTATGGAGTAGTGGCCTTTGGATTTAGCTGTGATTAGGTCATTTGTAACTTTAAAGGACCACTATAGTGCCAGGAAAACATACTCGTTTAACTGGCACTATAGTGCCCTGAGGGTGCCCCCACCCTCAGGGTCCCCCTCCCGCCCGGCTCTGGAAAGGGAAAGCGGTTAAAAAGTACCTTTTTCCAGCGCTGGGCGGAGAGCTCTCCTCCTCCGATCCTCCTTCTCTCCTCCCCGTCGGCTGAATGCGCACGCGCGGCAAGAGCTGCGCGCGCATTCAGCCGGTCACATAGGAAAACATTCATAATGCTTTCCTATGGACGCTGGCGTGCTCTCACTGTGAAAATCACAGTGAGAAGCACGCAAGCGCCTCTAGCGGCTGTCAATGAGACAGCTGCTAGAGGGAATGGGGGAAGGCTTAACCCATTCATAAACATAGCAGTTTCTCTGAAACTGCTATGTTTATGAAAAAATGGGTTAACCCTAGAAGGACCTGGCACCCAGACCACTTCATTAAGCTGAAGTGGTCTGGGTGCCTAGAGTGGTCCTTTAATGATAGCAGTCTCAGAGTGGAAGGGGTGAAAGCCAGATTGAAGAGGACCGAGGAGGGAGTTGGAATTTAGGAAGTGAGTCATACGAGCAAAGACAAGCCTTTCTAGAAGCTCTGAGGAAAAAAAGAGCAGGGATATGGGACGATAATTGGAAGGTGAAGATGGGTCTAGGGATGGCTTTTTTAGGATTGGTACGACAGTAGCATGCTTTAGAGGAGCAGGGACAACACCATATGAAAGAGAGCAGTTTAGGATGTGTGTTAAGGATGGTACAAGACAAGGGGAGAGAGATCTGATAAGGTGGGAAGGATCAAGCGGACAGGTGGTGGGACGAGAGGAAAGGAGAAGCAAAGCCACCTCTCTGGTTCTGTAGCTGGGGAGAAGGCCTGTAGGGTAGGAAAGGAACGGTTGATGTGTGGATGCGAAAGAGAGGAGCATTCTTTCCTTAACTATTCAATCTTGTCGGTATAGTAGCATGCAACTAACAATAGATGAAAAGTAGGATTGTTTAGCGAGGGTGAGGGCTGTGCCATATGAAAACAAAATTAATTATAATGGAGGAAGTCTGACAAGGTGCGGGACTATCTCCAGCAGTGTTCAGCTGAACGGGAGCATCTCTGTAGGTAGCCTGTTGACCTAGTGTGAGACAGTTGGCGACGTGCCCTCCTTGAGGTGCATGCTTGGAGTAGGGCTGCAGCATCTAGGGCAGAGGTGAGGGTAGTTTAATATGAGGAGATAGCCAGAGAGGTACAGGAGAGGGAAGGGATGGATGAGAGTTCAGAATGGATTACAATTGATAGCTGCTGGAGATCAAGAGAATTCAAATTCCTCCTGAGTTGAGGGGGATTAGGTTGAGGATATTGGGTGTGGGGGCACCCAAAAACAAATGATAGGAGGTGGTGGTCTGATAGATGAAATGGAGTATAACAGAGATTGGAGACTGAGTATGCATTTGAAAAAATAAGATCTATGGTATTGCCAGCTACATGTGTGGGAGAATTACCCCATTGCGATAGGCCAAAGGAGGAGGTGATTGAAATAAGTTTTGAGGCTACCGAGGACAAGGGTGGGTTTATGGGAACCCACCCATCGAAGAAAGGATAATTGTAAATAAAGGCAAATTGTAGTGGTGGGGAACTAAAATAAATGGAAAGAGATAAAAAAAAATAACTAAATGCAAATAAATATATTATATACGGCAGTTTGAAAGGAACACTAACATTAGGAATAGAAACCTGTATTGCCAACATTAGAGTGTTCCTCAACCCAGTTTGGCACTGAAAGGGTGAAAAACCCCTGTTTCCTGCTCACCTATCCTCATCATGCACCGTTACAAAAGGAGTTAGGCCTTCTTTGAGGAGTTAAGGGGACGGGGACACTGCACCCAGACCACTTCATTGAGATGAAGTGGTCTGGGTGACTATAGTGTTTCTTTTAAGAATGTAATTTTGTTGGTAATGTTATTTAACCCCTTAAGGACCAAAAGGGAATCATGACATGTCACACGTCATATGTCCTTAAGGGGTTAAAAATGTAATTATGTAAATATGATTATGCATATCACAAAATAATGCAGACCAGGTTTATTTTTCCCTTATTTAAAACATATTTAAAGTCCCATTGTAATTTTTAGTCAATCTGAATATAATAAAAGCAGATTTCCGACAAGAGAACCTTCAGCATTTAATTTTGGTTTTGCACACAGGACGTGTGCCTAGAAGGTGATAAACACACATACATGAGAGAGGACTCGTGTTTTTTTTGAGGTGTGTGTATAAGTAATGATAATGCTTTAGAGTTCAAAAGGGTTGCTGTGGTATATTGCTCATATGCCTGAAGAATTTGTCAGTAGCCTCAAACCACAATGTTTTGTTATTTCCCTTATTCAATGCTCATCAAGCAGAGTTTGCAGACAGGAGGAGTCTCCTACACCAAGTGGTTAAAGCCGTTTGTAATTTACAATGAGCTGATAAGCAATAGGAAGTGAAGGGCAGCTGGTAAATAGATAATGAAAACCCATTACATGTAGAACAAAGAGTACAAATTCATATAGAGGAGCAAGACTATCACAAATATACACTATTTGGCCGACAGCCACAATTTCACTTATCATTGTGGAACAAGATTTTAATTATGGTCTATCCTTAAAGCAACATTGTCACTTTGGGGGGTCTTTGGAATTTTTGCAAAACCTTATCTGTGACATATTGGCGTCTGGGTGAAACGTTTTAGTGTGCACTTACTTAGAAATCTTCTGGTCTTTGAGAAATGAAGGCAACTGTAATTGCTGGTGTACTTTTAAACAGAACTGTACAAGATGGGGGTTCAAGGATGATCCCACAACGACTAATGTCCCCCATATATCTTCATGCAAATGTGCAATAAGGTGACACTAAAATCTATTCATTACAGATTAAAATGCTTGTTCCTATCTGAGCTTAAAGGACCACTATAGGCACCCAGACCACGTCATCTTAATGAGATCGGCAGTATATATATATATATATATTTGGACATTTTACACACAGCAAATTGCTTCCAAAGCAGTTATTTAGGATCAGCAAGATACTGTAATTCTGACACTATAGTGTAAAAAATAAAATAATTTAGGTCCCCTGTTCCCTAACTATCTTGCCTTATTTCCAGCACCGCACGGGTCAGCCTCCTTGATAGACATCAGAATTCCCAAAGGAAAGCAATGGATTGACTGACAGTCAAATCTAATGATCTCATCCAAGGAGGCAGGGAGGGGGCGGAGCCAAATGCTGCCCTGGCCAATCAGCATCTCCTCATGGATATGCATTGATTCTGAGGAGTGGCCTAGGTGTCCCTAGGCTGCAGGGACATGGTATAGACACCAGAAAATCTACATTAAGCTGCAGTTGTTATGGTGACTATAGTATTCCTTTAAATAATGCTTCTTCTTTACCCATTGTTATTGCATTTGAGTTTTTTTTTTGCCTGTTCACTGCTATTATATCGTGAGACAGCAATTCATTTGTGTTAATTATTGAATATTATTTTAAGTGTGTTTCACATTTACAATGGTCACACTTACAGTTCACTTAGCCTTAAACCATTCTTGTATGTTTGATGTTGTATATTTATTTTCCTTGAATATGAAGATGTTCAGTTCTTCACACTGAAGTCTTGTCATTTTGTGAAAAAAATAAAAAAAATAATATCAAATAAAAAGGGGAGTTCTGTTTCCCGTTTTGTTACTGCAGCCAATTGCAGAATTTTGCCAAAGATCAGATTCCACATAAGACAAAGTAATCACACTTATTTGTCTCTTATCTCGATCTTTTGACTGCAATGGAATTTCTGTGAAATTCTATCAGTCTTGACTTTATCACACGCAGTGACAGTGCCACTTTAACTAGTGGCCTCTACATGTAAAATAACGTGTCACCATTTTTAGTGCATGACATACCAACATGACATGTGCCATGAAAGAGTTAACATAACATTGGTAGTTTATTCTTTGAACATTCGACTAGTGAACTGGAATCTGAATTAAATGATTTATGTCAATATAGTCATTTGGAAAGGTTCTCACCTATACAGCTATATTCACAACTTTACCTGAAAATTTACATTTCATTCACTGTTAAGCAAGTAAGCCTTTACGTTCACCGAGTTGTATAAAAGTAATATTGATGTTTTCCCAAAGAAAAAAAAAAGAAAAAAGAAAAAGTATATAGATTAACTGAAAGCTAAACTTAGTACTTATGACTAGTACTATTCCAGTTAGACTGTTCTTCTATGCCCATGGGTCTAACTTTACGCAGTGAGAAGTTTCTATAGGCTGTGGAATTATAACGTCTTATGTAACCAGTAGAATAGAAGCACAAACAGAAGGTTAAGGGCATGAAAAGGTAAATATTAATTTTTTTTTGTACTAATCTATAAAATGTAATTTAACGATTTATTTTTTTTAGGATAAAAGCAGTTATTTTTTCGGTTAGTTCTCTCTTTAATTACAGCAAAGAAAAGTACAAATTCTATACAAACTATTTACTTTTATTTTGAATTTTATATGTATGTGTGTGAATGATTATGTAGAGAGATATATATATATATATATATCTCAATTTATTTAATTTTTTTTAGACCAACTGACGTAGAAGAATAAAACGTGGGGTAGTGCACTGCTGTCAGCAGCTGGCGCAGGATAAATAGGATGTGGAAAATCTCACCGATGCAATGAGAAATGCAAACAGAAATAGGTTATGCACTTTTCCTATTGTTAAATTCTATTTTTGGAATTGGTTCTGGGTTCAGTTAAGCAGGTCCACACACATGCGTAATTAATACAACTTCATGGCATGTTTGCGTTGGAGTCTTGGAACATGTCCCAGGGCTGCTGCTGCTTTTTGGAATGTGCTAGCGGTTAATATGATGGGCTCTTTTGCCAACAACTTTCTGGGACTCCAGCCATTGCCTAAAGAAGATTTTAAATTACTTGTATTAATCTTCTAACAATGGGTTGGTAAGAAAAGGGGTACCCAGATGGCAGTGGAGTTTAAAAGATGTAAAAAGAGTGTGCTTTTTCAATTTGTTTTTCAATATCAGAATTTAGCGAATATGGATTTCCCATTTATTGAAGTGCATGAGGTGCGTTTGGATTCAGAAAGACATTAGTCATATTAAGAACGAATAGTATGTTTTCAGAAAGGGTAGCTTTTGGGGCTAAAATTCCTCTGTGCCACTTTATTTTTTTATTTATTTTTTTATTTTTTTTAAAGGCACTGAGAATGTTCAGAGTGTACAACTGTTTGGCAGTGTTCCACAGAACTAAATGCAGGGGCCTATTCAATAAACTGGAAAATTAAGACAACCGACATGGATAATTTCAAACTTTTTAGGCTATCTCGCATTACTTTTTAGAATATCAATACACACACATATATCAATATATATATATTAGGGATCGACCGATATTGATTTTTCAGAGCCGATACCGATACCGATATTCTGTGAACTTTCAGGCCGATAGCCGATATAATTTGCCGATATTCTGTACATTTACCATTTTGGAAAATAAAAACTATTTCTAAAGGTAAATGCACAAAATATACATGCCACGTGTAGTGGATGCAGTGTGACAGGGGAGCTGTGTGTGTTTGTGTAGTGTGTGTGTAGTGGATGCAGTGTGTGTTTGTGTAGTGTGTGTTATGGATGCAGTGTGTGTTTGTGTAGTGTGTGTGGAGGATGCAATGTGTGTATTTGTCTGTGTATAGTGGATGCAGTGTGTATTAGTGTAGTGTGTATATAATGAAAGCAGAGTGTTTGTGCAGTGTGTGGGTAGTGTGCGTAAAGTGAATGCTGTATATACTAAATGCAAAGTGTGTGTATATAATGAATGCAGAGTGTGTGTGTGTATTTGTGTAGTGTGTGTATAGTGAATGTAGTGTGTTTATATAATGCAGAGTGTGTGTGTGTTTGTATAGTGTGTGTATATAATGCAGTGTGTTTGTGTAGTGTGCATTATATACACACACTATGCAAACACACTGCATTATATACACTACACACACTACACAACACACTGCATTATATAAACACACTACACAAACACACACACTGCATTATTATATACACACTACACAAACACACACTGCATTATATACACACACTATACAAACACACACTGCATTATATACCCACACTACACAAACACACACTGTTATATACACACTGTGTTTGTGTGTTTGTATAGTGTGTGTATATAATGCAGTGTATTTGTGTGCATTGTATACAAACACACACACACACACTATACAAACACACACTGCATTATATACACAGTGTGTTTGTGTAGTGTATATAATGCAGTGTGTGAGGGGGCATTTTTTATTAAATTATTTAAAAAAAAAATTATTTACTTAATTATTATTTATTTCTGTTGTCCCCCCTCCCTGCTTGTTACCTGGCCAGGGAGGGGGGATATAGCAGTCCCTGGTGGTCCAGTGGTATTGCTGAGCTTTGGGGGGGGCGGGCAGCAAGCGCTTACTCACCTCCCAGCAGCTCCTCCAGCTCCCCAGTGCAACTCTCGCGGCCAGCGTGTCGCGCGGAGCGTTGCCATGGTGATCCATGGCAACGCTCTGACGGCCGCTGGTCTCGCGAGAGTTGCACTGGGGAGCTGCTGGGAGGTGAGTAAGCGCTTGCTCTCCGCCCCCCCAGGACCGCCGGGCTTGTAATGAGCCCGGCGGTCCCAGGAGGTATTATCGGCAATATCGGTATCTGAATTGGCCGATACCGATATTGCCGAGAATACCGAATATCGGCCGATTATATCGGTAAAACCGATAATCGGTCGATCCCTAATATATATACGGTATATATATATATATATATATATTTTTTATTTTTTTTTTATACGTAGGTTGTATTTTTTCCCCCCCAAAAGCAAATGAGCGACTACTTTACCTTATGCTCCATCTTTCCTAATACAAGGTAAAGTAATTAAAATGTTATTCAGTGAAATGCTTAATCCTTCCAAACATTTTCTCACAGCTCACTCTACATAACTTTATTTGTTTTCCCAGCCATCAGCCATGGTATTTAAAGGGACACTATAGTCACCCAGACCACTTCAGCTCAAAGAAGTGGTCTGGGTGCCAGGTCCCTCAGGTTTTAACCCTTCAGATGCAAACTGCTATGTTTACATTTGGGGTTAAGCCAGCCTCTAGTGGCGCATCTGCGACTCTTGAGGCATTATATGCCACCATCACGCAGAGCATCCATAGGAAAGCATTGAGAAATGCTTTCCTATGGACACTTTGAATGCGCTCGGCACTTGCCGCGTATGCACAGTTGGCTCCACTGACGTCGGCGGGGGAGGAGAGGTCACCAGCGCCGAGGGAGCCCGGCGCTGGAATAAGGTAAGCTGCTGAAGGGGTTTTAACCCCTTCAGTGCCACGGGAGGGGGACCCTGAGGATGGGGGCACCCTCAGAGCACTGTAGTGTCAGGAAAAACGCTTTGTTTTTCTGACACCATAGTGATCCTTTAAGAAAAGTCAATGAGCATTCTGATGGTATAACCAAAAAGAAATACCTATAAAATGAGTATGCCAAAATTAATACAGAATTACAAAATTACATTTTTTTTTTTTTATCTCTCTGTCTAGAGACTCTAGACCAGTCATAGGCAACCTTCAGCATTGAAGAGGTTATGGTTCCATACTGCTCTTATAGCAGTGATGCTGGCAAAGCATCAAGGGAGATGTAGTCCATATCAGTAGTGTGAAAGGTTGTCTGACCCTGCTCTAGACTATAAACTCATTTAAAAAGGGTCCTCAACAACCTCTGGTTCCTTTTCACTTCAGTGTGAAATATATGAGCACTTTACAAATAACGGCAGTTTTTAGTAGTTATGCCAAAAACTAAAAGATTATATTGTTGCTTTATCAAATCTCTACCACACACAAAAAAAATTTTAAAAAAATTATTTACTCAACATTTTCACACTAGAGTGCCCACTTAGGTGACACACCATTAATTAGTAATGTTGACATTACACATTTAATTAGGTGTGGGAGTCGGTTAGTGTTCACTTGCATCAGCTCATACTTTCATTAAAGATTCAGAGGCAGTGGCACTATATTAAAGAAAGATTTAAAAATAAAAAAATAAAAAAAAAAGGGAATACAAACAGTTCCTTAAAATTAAACAAACACCATAAAATATAGTTTGTGACAAGTAATCATATTTTGCAACCTGAACAACAAACAGAAACTGATTAAACTATAAGAATAATTGAAGCCGTTCAGCTAACAGAAGCAGCTTGGTTTCATCTTTTAAAATGGCAACTCTTCAAAAGCAATGTCTTTATTATACTTTTAAAAGAACTGTAGGCAATTTGTTGTTTAAGATTTTTTTTTTCCATGGCTTCCATAAGCACAGTTCCCAATTTCACACTTAATTTGGCATAAGAGTCTGTTACACAAGTTTGTATGCAGTCAACCTGCCAGTGGCCTGCTTGCCTGTCAAGTAGAGCTACTGAATATACGATGTTTTCGAAGGCACATCATTTGTATAGACTGCTGGTCAAAACATGAAAAGTGCTGTCCTACACTCTTTAGGAATCAGAGGCTACAGGAAGTTAAATAGCCATATGAAAGATTCAATTAGTTGTGTTCCTGTCCACAGCAAATGAAAGTTACATATTGCAGGGCAGCATTTTCATGCACTGCCCAACAGCATGCAGAATTTGTGTGTCCAGAAATATATTCTGTAGCAACCAGCCACTTACACTGTATCAAATATCAAATGCGCGTACACTGCAGGTTTTACAGACTAAACAGCTTAATTTATGACCAATGGCAACAGATGTAACCAGGAGTAAGTAACAGCAGTAAGCATTTCCATAGAATGAAAATAGGGGACAAATTGTTTACCTGAAAAGGGGGATAAGAACCCCCAGATTCGGCTCGGGCTGTTTGACTTATGAGCACCGCATCAGAACGCCACAAAGGATTCACCTTCTTGGCTGGTGGAATTGCTGCGCAGCCATTTTAGTGAGACCGCGTGGGAGCCTTCTACCTACCACGTTGATCCGCCGAGAAGAGATGTGACGGTTAGAGCTTGCTTGACGGGGACCGGGATAACACCCACCGGTCCCGAAGGGGTGGGGGCGGAGAGAGAACGGGGCAGTAGAAGGATTCAGCACATGTCCAGGACCCTCAAGACTGGTAGGGCGGCCGTCCCTCCCGTTCCAGAGGTCGACTTGGCCGCACCATCTCCTCTGGTTGTTTCTGCATCACTTTTAGCTCCCATCAACTTCTAAGTGAACCGGCCCGGTCAGGGTTATGGTAAGTTTCCACAGGGTGCAGATCAGACGCAAAGATAGGCTAAAAGCCAGGCGAGGAGCTCAAGCAAAGCACGTCTGGTTGCCATGAGTGTCAGGCCCTGCCCCCAGTATCGGCCACTATTGATACTGATATTGCCGATAATGTGAGAGGCGGCGGTGGCACAACGCACACAGGGCTGGCATGTCCAGAAGGCAACAATCGATTGACCAGCAGGAAGGAAGCCCACATTGCTCCCCCTACCAGTCAGTCACTCAGTGTAGCGTGGCCAAGCGGAGCAGAGCCGATCGCAGTACAGGAGCTTCGGTTTCCTGTACCCAGCCGGACAGACGGGAATTACTCACTGAGAGAGCAATTCCTGTCACCCCGGCCGGGTACAGGAAACTGAACTCCTGTACCGCAGTCTGCTCCGCTTGGTCACGCAACAAGAGTGGTAATGAGGCACACGGGAGGGACCACACACTAAAGGGCATGGAGGGAGAAAAAACACTAAAGGGGGGTAATTTACAGAATATCGGTATTGGTAGTGCCTTAAACCCATCTCTTTAGGAAAGCTTATGGCGTCCCAGAGTAACCTCTACCTCACATACCTGTCTCTTGCTCTCTCCTAAAGGGCAGCACTCTACTCTCTCCTCCAGCTCTGCTTCACTCCCACCTTATTTGATTGCTATTTCCTGTCCTAATGTGTTTTATACCCCACCTCCTATAGACTGTAAGCTCGTTTGAGCAGTGCCCTCTTCAACCCATCATTTCTGTACGTTTTCTTGTAATTATCCTATTTATAGATAAATCCCCCCATCTTATAATATTGTAAAGAGCTACGGAATCTGTTGGCACTACATAAATAATAATAATAATAATAATAATACTCGCCAGAACAAATACAATAAGCTGTAGTTGTTCCGGTGACTATAGTGTCCCTTTAATAAACCTTGATAGATAATCTCCCAGCCATGAAAATAATTACCAGAGTAAAAGTAAAGAGAAAGTAAAAAGGACAAAGAGAAGAGAAGAGAAAAAAGCAGTATTCAGGATTTGAATAGTCAACGAATACTTGTATGCAGAGTCCGCCACTGAGGTATGGTGGAGTAGGAACGATGCCAGTTGGAATGGGGGAGGGTGATCAGTGAACCATTTGATAGGGCCATGTATCTTTTTCAAGGACGGGGCTATCGGAGGACAGTCCCACCAAATATGGTGGCAGGTGCCTAGGGACTTGTAGTGCCTGTGGGGTTTTACACCACAGCAATATGAAATTATAGGTGGGACCAGCAAGCAAGACGTGTCTTGTATGAGCTCCTGCTGCACGGACACTAACCGCAATGATATCTCAGGTTGAACTGCTGGGAAGCTTTCCAAATGGAGCCCTGCTTTCCACTCGCTGCTCCAAGCCGCACGCAAGCACTACACATTCCCCCCACCATGGACCGGTGGGGGAAATCCCGGTCCCCACCGAAGGGAGCTAGCTCAGCCTCATACCTTTCAGAGGGTCTTGCAGTCCTCACGAGCTGAACGTCTCCAAGATGGCAGTCTCATCTGACCCAGCTACACACGGCATGCAGCTGCAGCAGCCTGATGTGCCAGGCCCCAGTAATAAAGCAAGGCACACCCTCAGTTATATTTTTGACCGATTCTGGGCTCAGCTGCTGGCTCGCACACGGACAGCTGTAGCCATCCATGTACCACCTACCAGGGACTACGTTCACAGCAAGATGAGGCCTGGGAAACCTCTAATGGGCGCAATGCTGTCCCCCACTCCTAGACTCACACAAGATGCCCACCTGGGCTGAGAGCAACACGGGTCAAGACCCACAGGTACCGGTCACACACGCGGAGGGCCGCAAGACGCACACCTGAACCACGCAAGGCCAACCACACCCTTCCAACCAGGAAGATCCTGGACCTCGACGGATTCCAGGCTCGTGGCAAGAGGGTACCAGCTCTCCCAAAGCACCAGAGTTCGAGAGGCACCCCACCTTCATGACGCTGCACTGCTCCCCCAAGTGGACTGAGCCCAAACACAAGCAGGGGCCACGCACAGGTGTCGGATGACTGTTTAGCCTACTGAATCGAGGGGCCTACATGGTAGCCCGCAAACTGGGTCCACTAAGCACCACCACAGACACACTTCTAGCACCAGGAAGCAGATGGCCAAGTTCGGGCAGTGCATCTACCCAGCATGATTGCCGACCACACGTTATATGTTTTCATTTACTCTTTTTCTCTACATGGCTATCCCTCCTGACCACTTAATGCCTTTAATTTACCTAGCGTGATTCTTAGCCATTACCGATATGTCTATTATGCACTACGACTGTATCATCCTGATTAGCTTATTAGCCTAGTAAGCCAGTTGGTATACTCACCACTTTCCTTGCCTGACCTATTCACTTAAGCGTAGCACTACCACGCTCCGCCTGTATTATCGTTGAAGTGGTCCATCTCCCCTAGCTCTGTTTAATATGCCAATCGGCATTTGACACATTATCTGGCTGATCAGTCAACTAGCGCAGTCTTAAATGGGCACCCAGTGGTATTGCTTACATGTCATCACTAGAGACGCCACGAACCGTTCGCGGCGAACTCCGGTCAGCTGACACATCCCAGCCAATCTCCAGCAGACCCTCCCTCCCAGACCCTCCCACCTCCTGGACAGCATCCATGTTGAAGCTGCCTTCAACATGGATGCTGTCCAGGAGGTGGGAGGGTCTGCTGGAGATTGGCCGGGATGTGTCAGCTGACCGGAGTTCGCCACGAACAGCTCGTGGCGAACCGTTCGCGACATCTCTAGTCATCACCTTCTTGTTTTATTATAACTTTGCCATAGCTGCATTATTCTGTGTCCTGCTTCGCACTGTAACTACCCTATGCTACTATTGCTTAACCTCTTCATAAAATATAAAATTGTGCATGTATTCCAAAATACCTAAATGTTACAAGTGATTTAAAAAAAAAAAAAAGCCTGAGGATTGCTGTTGGGGTACCGTTGTTATATGCACTGCAAAAAAAAAAACAAACAAACAAAAAAAAACAACTTATAGGAGGATTCCCGCAGCTTGATCACCAAAGCACTGGAGAACTGAGTCACAGATCTTTTCCCACTGAGGGGCCAAGAACGTGGTCTTCAGGGCCATCTTCCAGCAGCCAAAGAAAGAAGGAGTAGTAGAGTTACATTGGCGCTAATGGGTGGCGTATAGAAAGGAGATTATATACTTCAGATGGTCAGCTTCCAGACATAAAGCCTCAAAGCTCATCCGGACCCTCACAAGGCAGGGGCGCTGTGGGAAACAGGAGGTTTTTAATAATTTTCCTATAGCCATTAACGTGTAAGCTCCAACAATAGTTAAAGATCAGTTCCAATTTAATTAACAGAAAATGCACACAAAATAAAAAATACCTGCTATGCATGTAAGTGGTAACACACATTTCCATAATGCTTTGCAACGATGCCAACAAATTGTTAATACACATCCACTTGCGGGTCATATAGGTAAAAAAATAGACAAAGACAACTGCGCAAGGTAGGAAAAGAAGCAATGCACGTCTCTAACCTCCAGGGCAGTTGTAATTGCATTGTGTTTGGACCTCCCAGAGCATTATACAGCGTTTTATTCCCAGAGGGCACAAAGGATTTATTTGCCCTTTTTTTGGTCCCCCCCACCCCACACCTCCCCCTCCCTCTTTCCTAAGACTCCAGATCTGTGAAATACTGTTTTAGGGCATGAAAAGCTTGTACCTTTAGTGCCTGGTGGTTGGTATAGTGACAGTCATTATCCTCTATAAGATCATTTTAAATCTGAAACCTAAAAATCTGAAAGATGTGAATGTGAGAGGTGCCCAGACCCCAGCCTCTCTGCAGAGCTTTATGCGATGCCAAGGTTTTAACGTTCGGATTTTCACATGAGAATCATCTCATGTCCAAATCAGACCACCTTGGGTTTCTTTAATAATGCCAGACAAATGTGTCTTCATTAGACTCATTATTACAGCCTTAAAGGCACTTGAAGCACCATACCCACTACAGCACATTACAGTGGTTATGACACAAAGTTTGTGGGTGCCTTTAGCCCAGTGTTCTCAGCATATCATTGGAATCCAAAGTTGAGACGGCAAAAGCCTAAGTAAGTAAGGGGCCACACGGTAGACCCCTGGTTTCTATCCCAAAGCAGCTCCACAATGAGCGATGGTGGTTATGGTGCATGAAGTGTTCCTTTAAATCCATCAGCTATGCTATACATGGCTTATAATATATCTAAAATTTAATGGGCCACTAAATGCACCCAGACCACTAAATCTCAATGAATTGGTCTCTGTGTTGTCCTGTAATTTTAACCGTTGGATGTAAAACATTGCTGTTTTGTAGAAACTGCACTGTTTACATTGACGTAATAAAACACACCTTCAGCCACATCAACCTAGTGAACCTGTCACGTGACCTTCGAAATGCATGAGGACATTGAATGGACCATCGCCAAGAGAGAAACACCTCCGGTATGACATCATAGGAGGGGGAGCAGGCAGTAGCACAGAGAGTCTCAGCGCTGGGGGAAAAAAAAGTAAATTTTTTTTTTAATCTAATCTAAATAGGTTTGTATTCCTAATCCAAGTGTTCCTTAACCCCTTAAGGACACATGACATGTGTGACATGTCATGATTCCCTTTTATACCAGAAGTTACAACCAACAGGTATGAACTTCTTCGGAGAAACTTGGATCGTTTTTATATAAATAACTGAAATGGACACATCTGTTGCAAAGTGTGTGGTCACAATATTAGCAGCTATGAAGATTTCTAAATTAAATAAATATACCTCAGATTGATTCGTACAGTTACATAAATCTTTAGTAAAGACACTAATTGCAAATACTCCACTAGGGGTTAATCATTTATTTCACTTTTAAAATGTTTATAAGTAACAACTATTTTGAAGTGATGAGTAACCTTGGCATGGCAGTTGTTAGTGAACTACATTTCCCATAATGCTCAGCCTGCATAGGGTACAGAGGTTTCCAATGCAGCACTATGGCATATCCTTCCTTCTGGTTCTTTATTTTAATTATGGCTACAAACTAAGATTAATTCACTCATTAAATCAAATAGCCAAAAAGTAGACTCAAGGGTGTTGTAGGACTACAAAAACTATAATGCTTTGCCAACCGTTTATGTTGTACAAAGTATCTACCATTTTGGGCATGTACATGATCAGGGATATCCACTGTAAATTGTTGGGAATTGAGTATTTAAAATTTTAGCCCAAAACAGGTAAGATATCTATTTAAATTTACAGACCCAGTAAAAAAAAAAATAATAATTAAAAAAAAAAAAAAAATACCTCTTTGAAAAATGGGGTAACATTAAAACACATCATCACTGTATACGTATCATCACCTTTATTATTAGTCAGTACACAAATAATTCTACAGTAACAACTGTAGAAAAGCATCCAGAATTGCACCCGGGTGATGAAGGGCCTCCCTTGTGACAATTTACAAGGGTTTGGATTTTCTCCAACACAAGTGATAATGGAAAAAGATTAGGCACATTCCTTCCATACTAAAAACGGCAAGGAGAGGAACATGGGGGGGAAAAAAAACCAACAAAACACACATACAAGTTAAGATTTAAGATACTAAAATTTCCATGCACTGCAATGTGTATTTATTTAGAGGTTGTATTTAGTACCATTCCACAAGATGCTGCATATTTTATTCTAAATATGTTTTCAAAGAGTGACACAAACTCAACGTGTACATAAACAGTGCGACGCATTGCCGGAAACTGAATCCCACCACATTCTAAAGTACAAGATGATACTCCTACACATATAAGATGCTGAAGAAACACTATAACTTTGGTTTATTATAGCTACGGCTTCTATAAAAAGAAAACGCTGCAAATAAACTTTGTGCCAAGTTGCTAAAGTTGTAGTGCCATCAATCTCAGCTACTTGGCACATAATTACCATCTCTCAGTACAAAATGATATAACCTATACGGTTGGCTGCTGCAATAAAAGGCTTTAAAGAGCAGTTCCGTGAGAATATTTGGTGGTTAGTGTAAAGAGATGCTTGTTGAAGACTTTTGATGCTATTTAACACTTAAAAGGTGGTTAGCAAGGTTGGTTCAGAAAAAAAAAAAAAGAAAAAGAAGAAAAAAAAAGTTCAGATGCGTACAAAGTCAATCATACAGGTTACAGAAAAGCCCTATGTGAGACTATAGATAAATATATGGACACATAGATACACACATACGTACCTCCCAAGTGACCCTATTGAGGAGGGACAGTGCCTATTTTGGACCTAAATTTCTCTTTCCTAATCTCCCTCTTTTCAAGGAGCTCCATATGGTTGGTGTGTCGGAGTATTCAGCAGAGCTGAACTGCAATAATTCTCACAGTAATGTGCCTTTAGACTGCAATAAATGTGTTCTTGCTCTAAATTAAATTTGCAGACATTGTTATTAGTAATTTTCCTAAAATTTCTCAGAACAGCCCCCGCCCCTGACCACAGCTCCACTTACACCTCTAAAGGTAAAGGTCCCCTCTTTGCACATTTAAAATGATGGGAGATATGGTACACACATATGCACTTGTGGTCAGGGACCAGAGCTGATTACAATATAAAACACACACACACACACACTTTAAATGTGATCAATCAGGTGCTAACAGGCGATTTTAATTTACTACGATATAAGCAATGTGAGGGTAGGTTTAAATAAAACAACCTAACCCACACTTTGGCATAAAGTACAAGCCCACCTACACATGTAGCTATTTAGCATGAAAAATGTGCAGCTGGAACCAATGTACTACGTAGGATGTATAGGGCCTCCCACACTACATGCAAGCATTTGTTATGAATGATGTAAAGATGGAAACTGTGGGATTGAATGACACAGCCCATCATAACATGAAGGTAAATACGATCACTAAAATATGTATACTACTGCAATGCTCAGAGTTCCAAAGGTTGAGGCTATAATATAATGTAGATAAAATAAAATTATAAATAGCAATGACTGGATAAAATCCATCAGTCAATTCAGATTCTAGAAAATTCAATGTGTTACATCATATTGCCATCAATATTGGGCCAGGATAAATATTATTGCATAAACTGCCTCTAGAAATTTTACCTCAATGAAGATATTCCAGATTTAAAGGAATTTTTAAAGTCCCAAAAAGAACAGTAATTTTGTTCAGGACTATAAGTTCCCTTCTATCATTGTGACGTTAAATAAAGATTATTTATCATTTCCAATGCAGAGACTCCTCTGCTGCAGCCGCAGACTCCACCTCTGACGACATAACCATTCCAGAATGAAATATAGCGCTGCTGTTAAAAAATTTGCGACATAAGCCATCATGGCGCATGTAGTTCACCATCACCTGCTATACGCTGCGCTCAATCAAAAGCCTCTTGGCGTATGACTTTGTTCTGGAGCAGGAACCGCCTCTAGTGGCTGTCCGGAAGACCGCCTCTGAAAGTGTATTTAACCCTTCAATGTAAATATTGCAGTTTCTACAAAAGGGAAATGTTTTACACTGAAGGGATAAAATGGCAAGACCACGGTATTAAGAACACTTCATTAAATGGGAGATTGCTGGGAGTTTTGTGAATAAAGCCCTATATCTTCAACCACCATTTGAAATTTTGGCAGAGAACGTAGCCTGGAACTATTTATTGGCCTTCAATCCTTACTCCATTAAGTTTCCCCATCGCGTCAATGGTCGTAATTACATATACACTGTGCATGTGCTTTGGAATCTAATGCAAATAGTATGAGGGATTGGCAAGACAGTAGCAAAACAGGAAATCCCCATACATTTTAAAGTGAGATAGTTGATTTCAAAAGTAACCCTTCAAACATTCTAAACAGTACATCATGCTGTAGTGGTTATGGTGCCAGGAATGCTCTGGAACCATGCGAGAGTCAAACCACTTAAGACTGCATTGATCATTTCCCTGGGTGCTGGACATTTCTTCTGCTGTTGCAAGAAGCTCTTCCACTGAACTAAACTCAGCCATGCATGGTGGTTCTTATTGACTGTGGATACTCAGCTGAGGTGCTCAGCCACTGTGCTCTGCATGGAAGAGCTTAGCTCAGTAAAGCTAACTGAAAGCGCCTTCTGGCAGCAGGAGCCCAGCTGTACATAGATAAGTAAATTGTTGCTTACTTCGGGAGTGCATCAGGGCATTCCTGGCGCCAGAAACACTACAGTGTGGGTGCACTTTCCTTTAAAACTGGACGCTGTCCCCCGAGACAGTGGATTGCTATTACCGCATTTACATGGCCAAAATAGGTTAAATTCAATATAGCAGAGAATTTGAGGGGTGCTGTGAATGTTAAACAAATTCAAAACAGATCCCTTTTATATTGTTGAAATTCTGCACTATGCATAGATTTTTCTTCTTCTAAAAGCTTCTCATTATTGCTATAGATGCCAATCCGATATTAACCCTTTAAGGTTAAAAGGAAATGGCCATCATTCGCAATTATAACAAATAAAATATCACATGTAACGAAGTCCTTGTGTTTTCTTCATTGCATTTATATAATCACTAAATGCCTTTTATTCAGGGTGTCTCCGTAGTAACCATATTTCTGTGAGGGCAACCATCTTAAAAAGGCCTTAAAAATGTCTGCCCCTAAAAAGCAATGTTAAGTGAGGATATACTTTGTAACCATTTACATGAATGCATTAGAAAATACCAAATAATAAGTCACGATGACAGTATTCCTTTAACAGACAAGCATACAGCACAGTTTCTTTTCATGTTTAGAATTTAAAAATAAAAATCAGGGACATTTTCCAGTAACTGTAGCATGTCGTTTATATAATCTAAAAGTGGATAATCCTGTTAAGCAGTCAGTTTTTCTTGTCATAAGTTTCCATAAGGATCTATTCCTAAATAGAAACCGGTAGGGTTTCCACTTGTAAAATGGAGAAGTGACTAGTGAAACATCCATCAAACATGTAAATTGCTCCTAACAATTATATACTTGTTTCTAAGCCAACCTTGGCTAAATATGCAATTACAATCAAATATATTATACGATTACAGGGAATAGGACAGGTCGACAATCAATCTTGTATTTAACTTGATATTATTAGACTAAAAAGTGGGTATAGAAACAATTCATAGCACCAAAAGTGAAGTAAAGTAGGACATTTTGGGTGGATGAAACATTCCATGATCAAAATGTTTCTCCTACATCGTGCCAGAATAACCAGCCACTTCGAAAACACAAAATGACTTATACGGCAACTTCAGAAACATAATAATTTCAATTATTAACAAAACTATTTATTATATGGATATCTTTTTATACAGAATTTATCAAATAAATTAAAAAAATAAAATAAAATATAAATAAATAATCTGGCCCCAGTGCAAGTTTTCAAAGTTTACTTCAGACCACTAATGTCAGCCAGCCTAATACATCTTTTAGTGCAATAAGGCCGTGGTTTTCCACCAGTGTCTCTCAAACCACCTTAAAGTGCCACAAACACATGTACTTCAGGTCTGTAATAGGTTGAATAAAATCGTTTAAAGAACACAACAATGTTAGGAATACATACCTGTATACCCAATGCTATAGTGTTCTCATCTTTATTTTGATTCAGGACCCCCTTTAATCTAAAAAAAAAAAAGTGAAATAAAAGGCTTAACTTACCTTTTTTCCCCCGAGGCAAGATAGAGTCCCTGCAGCCACTTAAAATCTGCCTCCTGCAACATCAAACCAACGCTTCTCATGGAGAATGCGGTTGGTCTAGTGGTAGACATTAACTAGAGACATATTTAACCCTGCAATGTAAGCATTATCATATTTACTAAACAGCAATACTTTAAATTTCAGGGTTAACACTAAAGGACAATGCACTGTGACCACAAAGAAAATGCAATTTTTTTTACATGAAGAAAATGTAAGTTTTTGTTTTTTTTGTGTCCGTATTAAAATTGGTGTTCCTATCAAGCAATTAAAAACAACTAATAAGTTAATTTGACTAGAAGCATGCATATTCGTTTAGCAAGGCTACAAGTAAATGTGATACTAACAAAATGCTGTAAAAAAGGTAACTCAAAGCATCATATCCTCTACCGCCCTATGCAGTGTTTATAATGCCTGGAGTACCCAATTTGCAATGGTATGCCCGCTTACATGGGCCCCTAAACGGTGACAGGTTTCCCTGCAGCAGGCTCAACGTTATCTGGTTTTGTGCGGAGCTGCAGAACCCGAATGCCAATCCTGCTGTTCCTTTTTTGGCCAAGAGGGTCCCCTGAGAAAATCGCCATTAACCAGCCCCACAGGACGCTGCCAGCAACAAAGAGGTTCATCTTATAAAAAAAAAAAGCAGGAAAAAAAATAGTAATTGTGTGTCTAGGTTATAAAAGATCGGAAACCTCTGTTGTATGGTATACCTATGAAGAGATGTTGGAAACCTAGTACTGGTTATTAAAGTCTAGCTGAAATCCCATGATTAAATTAAAAAAAAAAAAAAAAAAAAATGTTGGAGACACAAATCTGCTGCTATTGCTAAAACGTGATATTTACTTTTCCATCATAAACCTTAACTGCAGGAAAAGCTCCTAGAGACTCATAATCACTAAACGTCAGGGAAGTCAACAGAAGGAGTCATTAAAGTGACACTTCAGGTTATCACTAACCTCACCGTCATCACTCTTCAACTCATAGAATAAAAAAAAAAAATGAAAGCACATCAATAAAAATGATATTCAAAAAAAACAAACAAACAAAAAAAAAAAAATCTCCAGGAACTAATCTGCTAGTTCTGTAGTGAGGAAGTAGTTTTCTCAGTCAAACGCAGTCCTCTCACGGTTTTGTTAACTAAGCTGTAATTCTCCATAAACCTCTGAATAGCGCGATTGTATTCAGTACAGCACTTGACCATGCATGGTAGACCAAGTGACTAATAGTTAGAATCAAGGCAAAGAATATGTAAGAGAAAGTGCTTGTGATCAGGTGTGAAGTGAAGCAAACGGTGCACAGAACAGGTTTGGCAAGACATAATGACTGATTGTTTCCCCCGCTTTAGCTGGTGAACTCTTGGTGAGAAAAAGTGAAATTCTAATTCTTGGAAACTTTTTAGACATCCTTAGTGAGCACAAAAGGCTCAGCAGCCTTCCATTAGTATTACCCTGTATGTGAGAGGGGTACAGTTAATTTGACAAAAAAAAAAAAATATGATTTCATGCACAAATTATGTACAATGTTCAAATTAATTTGATCGTGTGGGGTCTTTGCATTTTTCCCCAAAGACCACCAAATGGTGTGCCCTTTTTTCTTACAGTGGTGTACAAGGGAGGATGATGAGGGAGATTTACTTTATATAAAGCTCCCTTATTGAGACAGATCTTCAGTTCCTTGCGGAAGGTGCAAACAAGAGCCACATCACTTTTTATACTGCTGTGCATGTGTAAATGAAAAGAGAACAAAAAAAGAAAGGAAAAAAAAAGAAAGAGTCGTCATCTACGGAAGATAACACAAGACCGCCTTCTGCAGATCTCATGAACATCTACCAACAGCTGTGGTCCTTATAGGATTAAAATTGACCCATTTTTTTTCTCCTCTCAAATCAAAAAAACAAAAACAAAAAAACTTGAATGATAACCTGAGCATCAGGTAGGGTAGCAAACTTAAACTGCACATTTCATCACTATCCTAAGCTATTCTCGAAGAATAACATCATCTATATGTTATTATAGCATGTCCCATTGGGTCACCCCATTTAGAAAGTTAAAAAGAATTAAACGTACCAGAAATCCAGCACCGGGCAAAGCTCCCTGCGCTGGTTTCCATGTCCGGTCTGACGTCACTGCTCCCTCATGCAGTCCAATCATATTTGTTTGGACCGTTTCAACGACTCAGAGAGGGAGCATGGAAGGGAGAGAGATAATAAATAATGTAACACGAAGGAGTATGGAATTGGGCACATAGAAGTAGGGGAGATCAAACACTGATGACAAAGTCATAAGCACTGCTAAGTGTGTAACTAGGCCCTGGCAAAAAAATAAAAATAAATGTGAATATCTATAAGTGTGCGATGTCTCACTGCACATAGAGACTCCTAAAACCACAATCACTTCTAAAAGCAGACATGGTTATGGAGGTTGGAGTGACCTTTTAAAGGGAACATTACTTGCCAGCAAAATGAAAATTTTAAAATTATACTTACTGGGAAAAAAATCATTCTGGCATCACAGTGGTTGCAATTGTATTTAAAGGGACACTATAGTCACCAGAACAACTACAGCTTATTGAATTTGTTCTGGTGAGTAGAATCATTACCTGCAGGCTTTTTGCTGTAAACACTGTCTTTTCAGAGAAAATGCAGTGTTTACATTACAGCCTAGTGATAACTTCACTGGCCCCTCCTCAGATGGCTGTTAGAGATCCTTCCTGGGTCATGGCTGCCTAAAATGCATCCAAACATGCTGATTGGCCAGGGCTGTGTTTGAATCATGCTGGCTCTGCCCCTGATCTGCCTCTTTGTCAGTCTCAGCCAATCCTATGGGGAAGCATAGTGATTGGATCAGGCCACCACTTCTGATGATGTCAGCAGACTGCTTGTTTTTTTTTTTTTTAGTCTAACAGCATGCAGTTCTACAGCTTCAGGCTTAAATACAGTAAGATTTTGCTATATTTATGGAGGCATGCGGGGCCCAGGTGGTGGTTTTAACACTATAGGGTCAGGAATACATGTTTCTGTTCCTGACCCTATAGTGATCCTTTAATCAATCCCAAAAGCTTCTGCACAAATCACACAATTATTATTGTTCACTGTATGTACACGTGTGCTATGGATCTCTGTCAATCGGACAAAGGTTGAACAGAGACACCAAACACTTAAATCAATTGCTTTGGGTGTTAACTGCATATCCTTGCAGGTTTGTTTTATAATAGTACAGACGACAAACTTTTATAAATCCCATTGCTAACTCCTCCCAGCTGTCAAAGAGATAGAGATGAAGTACACAGTCCATTTTCTGTAACGCGATAAGATATCATTATTCTATTGGATACCAGATATTGATTCTTTTTAAAAAAAAAAAAATATATATATATATATATATATATATATATATATATATATACTGGGATTTTATTTTTTTAACTCACAGTTGCAATGCTTTTGCTCTACTACATTCAAGGAAAAAAAACATATCGCAATGCCCAAGTAGCAAACTGTGTGTCTTGAACTCAAGCAATGGGGGGAGTGGGGCATGACGATGCCACACACACAAAAAAAAAAACCCCACTATCACATAATACTTTATACACATACAACAAAGTATTGCAAGAAGCAGAAATCTATTTAACAGAACATCACAGTACACGGTTTAATTATTTCATATATAATTCCCTAAGAAGTCAATACAGTTTATCAGTAGGTATATAAAACAAACCCTCTCCATTCTACCTTTAGCAGAATATATAAAAGTCTAAACGTCCTCAGAAAGTGAAGTGAGCCAGCTAGTGATTCGTGGCTCTCCCAATCAGCCCCTCTATCTAGTCACATGCAGCAGTCTCTGTGCAGTACTCACACACTGGGGATCTCTGTGTCCTGTCCCGAGTGCCCCGATCAGGTTACCGAAGGCATTCAGGCGGTATCCACCTGCTCTGGCTGGGGGGGAGAGAGGCTAGGGATCCCTGGTTCACTTACAGTCTTCTCCCCCTCCCTGTGCCCTCCTCAGCCTGGGAAGCCTCCATTCTCCAGCAGCGCTCTGCCCATGGCCCGGGCTGGGAGGCAGACAGGGAAACCTGATGCTCCAGTGTCTGAGCCTCGCACGGGGCTTCGCTCGCATTCTGCCGCCAGCTTCTTCCTTCTCCTGAGCGGGGGAGGAGAGCCGGTGACGTCAGCACATCGCTCCATTGACGTCAGTGGAATCCCTGTATCTGCATCAATGAGCTAAATTTAGCAGCTCACAAGAAAAAGCCTTAAAATAACTCTCATGCCTTTTGTGTCACAAGCTCCAGCAGTTATTCCACAGACAATGATGGGGGGCAGACACACACACACAGCCCAGGATGATATTTATAGGCTCCAACGACACAAGAAGATCTAATTAGAGACACTTCGTTTATTTTAAGGGTTTATTTTATTTCCTTCCTAAATATAAAACCCAAGACGTCAGCTCGTAACATAGTACAGATCCTCATGTGATTTCACTAGGACTATCATCACCATGGCATGTTTTTGGAAAGCGTTTACGTTTGTTTGAAATATAGAACTTGCCTCCCCACTTATCACCATTTTAAGGTGATTTTGAAGAGAGACATTAAGTAACAGCCGCACGACATGTACATCCAGAGATGCATAGAAAATAAATAGATGGTGACTATGGCAGGACTATTATAAATATTATAAATAGTTCATTACATGCCTGTGTCAGTGTTTCCTGTCAGAAAATAAGATAAAGTTATACGAGTTCAAAGATAAAGACACACTTGGTGCTGATAACAGATTGGGTTCAAAAGTAAAGATTTTGGTTTATTTTAATTTGGAATTCGTAATCCGAACAAATGTTTTGGGGATAGAACCCCCCTTTCCTCAATGAACGTGTCTTCTCGGTATTATGTAGGCTGTGGAATGTTGTGCATTGGTGGAATGATGAGTTTAAACCATGACATTCGAATGCTGTAACCCTGAAATAGCATCTGAAAGATGTATTGTTATAGGTGAGGGAAAGTGTCTATAGGATGTGACATATATTAAAGTGATTCTGCTTTGATTATTATTTATAAAGCACCAACATATTCTGCAATGCTGCACAATGAGTAAAAAACAAAACAAAAGAATATTTAAAATCTTTTAGGTTTAAAACACATTGCAATACTGTGTGGTGTAAAAGTAAGGGAGTGTCAGTCCAGTTACACCCGCTTTTCAATGTCAGACACACCAAGTCAATCCAGTTTCAGGTTCATACACACACAGATGCCTGCAGCTACTTAAGTGAGAACTGTTAAAAATTCATAGGACATTCAAAAAGAATTTAATGTTTAGGCCAAAATAGCCTAACCCAAAGGGTCACTATAGTGTCAGGAAAACAAACCCCTTTTCCTGACACTATGTTATCCTTGGGGGACTTAGCTGAGATCATTAAGTTTGATGATATCAGCCAGGGATAGGCAACCTTCGGCACTCCAGATGTTTTGGACTACACCTTCCATGATGCTTTGCCAGCATCATGGCTGTAAGATCATTATGGGAAATGTAGTCCGCAACATCTGGAGTGCCAAAGATTGAATTCCCCTGATCTATGCCATGGAGGCGGGACCAGTCATGGTGAAACCAGCACGGCATGGGGAAAAAAGCTGATTAAAATACCTTTCTCATGTGATTGGAGGGGTCACGTACCTAAACAGACACATACACTCTCTGACAGACACACACACTTACTCTCTGACATACAAACACACACTGGCAAACACACATACTGACAAACACACACTCTGACAGAGTCATATACACACACTGACAGACACACACACTCTCTGACATACAAACGCACACTGACAGACACAAACTCTGACAGTCACATACACACAATGACAGAGACACACACATTATATCACACACTCACAAATTGACATTTGTGTTTTGCTTTAAGTACACCCAGCCGCCCGACCTTTGGGAGAGCTGATTGGATCTTTTCCTGGGGTCCAGGGGCTGCTCTCTAATCGTCCCAAAGTTGGGATTTGTCGAACCCTAGTTTAGTGTATATGTATCTAGGACCACAAAAGGGATCTGGCAAATCTTAGCTTGTTATGAATATGTGTTTGCACAACAAAAAAAGCTATTTAATCATAGGGTAATGAGCAGATTGTCAGAGTGGAGAGCAGATATTTCATATTTGTTATGTTTAGAAAATTCCTATTCACTGGCAGCCTGGTACCTTGGCATTACTCCAGATCACCACTGATAGTCAGAAACTTATTACAGTACAAAGGAAAATCTCCAGGCACTCGCAGTGTTCAAACAGCAAGCAGTTTTATTGGATCAAAAATAGTGACAGAGCAAAGTTTTGGCCTTCTACAAATTCTTTGTCAAGCTCACCACAAGTCTACAATTTCATTATGTATAACTTTATTAATACCAACTTGGGACTTTACATAAGACAATCTAGACCCCACTTTGTCTTATACAATTTTAATTACAATTCCAACACAGCCCATGTGTATATTTCATAAAGCTTCTATCTTTACGAAATACTTAATATTTATAGTCTGGTAACAGACTCGCTTTAAAGTGTTTTGCTTTCTTCGCATTTCTACATATTGTCTGTGCCATAATTCGTAAATACGCTTGTCACTATATTCCAGCTGAAAAAAGTTTTTCACTGCAATGCTTTATAACCCCTTATTGTCATGACTAATCACATGTTTTATTAAAAAGAATATTAAAATATTTTCAGGAAAATTTCCTCCTCTCTATATAATAGTTATAGTTTTGGCAAAATATTGTTTGTTTGTTTTTTAAGAGTTAGCTATCATTCTTAGTGCAATGATTTTTTTCCTTTCTTTAATGTTGAAAAAAAAATTGTTTTGTTTTAATGCCTAAGAATCAAAAACTAAAAATACAATGAAGAGATGTATTCTAAGGTTATGATATCTCTTATTACTAGTTGGGTCCCAGAGATGCAACCAATAGACACTCAGACAACTGTATATGGTACCTCGTGAGTCCACAAGTGTTCCAATGTCATTATAATGCCTGCTCTCTATCAGGAGGAGACAGGATGTGCTGCCCACAGCGCTACAGATAAGAAATAAACTTCCCAAAGTCTATCAGTGACGTCTGTGTCTGCATGTGAAAAGATGGGGGTGGGAACCCAGCAAAAACATGTAGTGCTGACTCGGAGTCTCATTACTTTCTAACGGCATTCCTTCCTTCCTGGACAAACACAGTTATGATTATCACTTGTAGAAAGACAGTCATACTTATTACTTGTACAAAATCTTCAAAGGAAAATGGATGTAAAATATGTTTTGTTTTTTCAAGAATGTCTCTGTTATGTGCTCAGAGATAAACTTGTTTAGAATATTTTACCTGTCACCAAAATACCTATGTGTATTCTGTATAAGCTTCCTTTTATTATTTATATAGCGCCATCAAATTCCATAGCTCTGCACAATGGGTGGACCCACTTAACGCTAAAAATGTAATTGTCAAATAAAATTCTCCCAAACTGGAGGGCGGAGCCTGACCTCTTCAACGAGCGGTCCCACTAGCCTGCAGCTCCTGGTTTCTCACAATGAAAACAGCAGTTTTTCCAAACAATTCATCTTATTACCTGGAGTGGGGGACCCGCCAAGAAGTCATGAGCTATATGGGGCGCAAATTTTAAAAAATCGAAGCTGGATAAACCTACCTACGGTCTGACTATCAGAGACACGTGGAAGCAAGTGTATAGCGCTACTGGGCATTAGATGGTGACGCCCTCAGGTGGCTGCTCCGACTTCTCCAAGGGCGCAGAGGAGGATTTTGTACCTGCTCCAGCAGTTACTGCCATGACAGGTCCGGATTCTTCTCTGGGGACAACCGCGGGTCTTAAAGAATATTCTGGCAGACGTTACAGCAAACGGTCGCATCGGAGCACTGGAAAGTACCTCTCAATCAAGCACTCAGCAAATAGCCACACTCCAGCAGGAGGTACAGGAATTGAGGCAGCAGAACCTGTCACATGAATGCTGCTTTGCGGCTCAAGAAAATACCCTGCGGCGAAACAACCTTAAAGTCAAGAGGGTTTCGAAGGAAGTCCCAGAAGCTGAATTACCACACTGTATAAGACGCTTACTAACAGCCCTGCTAACCTCCCAACAGACCAAAGCAGGTACTCTGGACTGTATCTTTCGAATCCCCAAACCCGCCAAGGCACCTTCCAAAATGGGAGAGACAAAACTGCAGTCCTCACAGTCGTGAGGGGGAACTCACCTTTCCAATTCGAGAATATGTTGCTGACGTTCTATGCAGATCTATCGAGCAGCACTCTGGCCTGGCAAAGTTCGCTGAAACCACTCACCTTCCTGCTTCAAAAGCATGAAATCTGTTACCGCTGGCGTCTGTTCTGTACACTTCTAGTGTAGAAGGGGAATAACACAAACTCCATACACGATCTACAGAGTTCAGCGGCACTGCTAAGAGACCTTGGTCTATCCACGGACTCGTTTATCCAGCCGGAGAATCACACAGCACCCCAAGCATCCCATACCTGGGATCCCTCCAGGAGCACCCCGTTTATTCCGCGAAGGGTCATTCTGGACTCATGCGCTGCCATTACCACCTGAATGGGTGGGCACTGTTTTAATTGTGTTGTTGTTTGATAGCTTTCATTGACATACTTTGTTTTACTTTTTTACTACACCAATGACTTAAAGAACCATAAGGGCTCAAGCCCTCTTAGCTGTCCCAGAGCTGACTGCTCGCTCTAAATACCCTCCCCCCCCCCACCCCACTGTGAAGCATGCCAAACTAAGGTCACAGGCTGATACTCTCAGCCACATGAACCAAATCAGCAGCCAGGAGCACTGGCTAGTACCTTCTGGCCTCTTATTTCTTATTTCCTCTTACTGCTGAAGCCTATCGGCAATGTTAAGCCTAACTTTCTCATGCCTGTGGACTACTCTACTTACCATCCCAGGCAATAAAGTGCATACTGTCCACCACCTTGGGGTAGAGGTAGAGGTCTCTAAATGGAGGGCATAGACTGATTGATTACCTCTCTCACACACAAAGGAGGAGCCACCCTCCTATTTAAATGAGTTTTTACTCGCTGTCACTCATTATTTTATTTAATTTTGTCTTACTATATATATTTGTCCATATAACACCTAAAGCACCAATGGCATACCTACTAATTTGTCTACTTATCT